AGCTGTTGATGTTGTTCAGATCCCTACTGATACGAATCTGTTTGACAAACTCAGTTCTAGAAACATTTTGAGTTTGAAATAATCTTTTAGCACTACTACTACTACTACCGTCAAAACACTAAATAAAGACAGCTTAAATAACATCGAGTATGTCTATGCTCCTGTAGTGTAAGGATATATTCCTTCTAACTAACTGCAGTATTTTTGACTTTTTTAGAACATTTTAATTATCCAGAATTTGTATATTGTTTAGATTTGACATCATATTTTTTATTTTTACTTTTTAGTTGTTAATTCTCTATTCCACTTTTTTAAAGTATTTTTATTTTAATGTCTGAACACACTGATGCTTATGTAACAAGATAATGTTTTATTATTCCCAAATTGGGATCAAAAAATAATATATCTATCTATCTTAACTCTGCAAAAAGAGCACAACTGTAACTCACATATTGCGTCGTGTTACATGAAGATAATGACCGTAAGAGAAGATAATTTATTCTAAAAATGTGTCAGGATGAATTGGGGACTGCCAATAATTGATAAATATTTAAATATCTTGTTTTATTAGTGATTCAAATGAGATGATAAGCGCAGACATGTGTTTGAATAAAATGCCTTTAGGTGTAATTAATAGCAAGTGTTCTATATCACTATATATCCATATTTTTAAGAAAATATGGAAAATCCTCTGACAGATGATTAAGTCTCCAATTGCAACTATGTAAACATAAAATATTGCCTGGTTCAAAGTCTATTTCACTTGCTGTCGTTTAGTTAATGCATGCTATGCGTGAACAGATTTAAAATAAAGGGAAGTTTACCTCCAATGATACGTAGCCAGAAATACAGATTTCACACAAGGCATGATGTACTTTGATTTAAACAACTGTTAGTCAAGGTATTAAAAGGGTCTGTATTAAAGGACAGAGAGCGTTTATGCGTTCCCATACTGTACTGTTGAGTCTTCACATGTGATTTATTGATTGTCCTTTTTAAATATCCCCTCTTTTCCTCTGCATGTGTTGCTCTGATTCCTATAAAAGCATCAAGTGAAGTGATGAATTGTCCTCGGACTTTCCCACCCGTTCACACTGATGGACTTTTCTCACTTGTGTGTGTGTGTGTGTGTGTGTGTGTGTGTGTGTGTGTGTGTGTGTGTGTGTGTGTGTGTGTGTGTGTGTGTGTGTGTGTGTGTGTGTGTGTGTGTGTGTGTGTGTGTGTGTGTGTGTGTGTGTGTGTGTGTGTGTGTGTGTGTGTGTGTGTGTGTGTGTGTGTGTGTGTGTGTGTGTGTGTGTGTGTGTGTGTGTGTGTGTGTGTGTGTGTGTGTGTGTGTGTGTGTGTGTGTGTGGTGTGTGTGTGTGTGTGTGTGTGTGTGTGTGTGTTGTGTGTGTGTGTGTGTGTGTGTGTGTGTGTGTGTGTGTGTGTGTGTGTGTGTGTGTGTGTGTGTGTGTGTGTGTGTGTGTGTGTGTGTGTGTGTGTGTGTGTGTGTGTGTGTGTGTGTGTGTCGGTTTTTTCGCTGGTAAAATTAATTAATAACCGGTAAATTCAAAATGTCCGTTAATAATGACTCCCATTAACTGAGTTTTAAGCATCAGCATATCCGGTCATAGTCCGGTAATTACCTGCTAACAGAAACTCTGTGTAGTACACAATTCTTATTATTATTGAAACATGACCGGTAAGTTTCAAATTTGTCCGGTAAAATTAATTCTTTCCGGACACTTGACCGGCAAGAAAAAATCCTAGCGGAAACCCTGGACTCTATATGTACCCACTCAGGGCCGCCCCTCCCTACAGGCCGATCATGCAGGCTGCATGGGGCCTCACATTGCGCAGGGGGCCTCGGCTTATGAGCTCGGTTTGTGCGCAGTTCTCAGCGCACCCCCCCGCTGACACGCGAGAGTGAGAGGTGACAAGGGGAGCACGTCTGTAACCCGACACCTTTGCAATGAATCGACATCTGACCAATCACGGCTTTGATACGGCCACTAGTGCAGGTGAAGAGATGTCGGCGAAAAAACTGTTTCAGTCCGAGATGCAGTTATTTCCTGCATTCTTTATTTACCATTCATTCAAGTATTTGATGCCTTTTATCTGCTAATGTACAGGAGGAAGAGTGATAAACTGTCTGTCTAGTTGGCTTGCATAACAGTTAAAGTTTACAGCCTAAAAAACATGGAGCATTTTTTCCCCCTTTATTCATTTTTATGTCAATTTGCACATTTCATGGTGATGCTCAGCCTCTCCCTTTAACTCCTAACAGTCATCATGTCAACCACAACACAGAGACATACTGATAGAAATGTGTGTTTAGTTGTTGATACATTGCTGACAGAGGGAACTACATTTGAATACAGATTTAAGAAATATCAGTTTTTGAGCATGTAATAAGCATGTTTTGTCTTGACTAGATTACAACTATATTATAATAAAATAATATAGTATTGAATTGATTATGATTATTATTAGTAGAAGTAGTTTATTTGCATTAATTATATTTTAATCTAGTATTTGGCAGGAAATGCAGACATATTCACCTGTAAACGCATACTGAACGACATACATGCACATTTACCATTTACCTCACTGTATAAAAAAGTAACTGTGTTGATAATAATAATAAACAGGAATTATATTTGCAAAGTACTTTGTTTCCAAAAAAAAATGTTTTCACTCCTGTCGGTTGGGGGGGGGGGGCCTCATCTCACAATGTCGCTTGGGGCCCCAAGTTGGCCAGGGACGGCCCTGTACCCACTGCAGTAGATTATCCCACATGGATCTTTACTGTTTAGTTTAAAGTAATATACCAATTAATTATACTATATACTTTTGCAGAAGATGGCAAAGACACTTTTTTTACTACTCCTGGAATTAATCCCACTTTCCATTTTACATCCATATGTTCAGTATGCTTTAAATTGTCAATTTGCTAAAAAGGCAAAATACTTTTTCTTATTTACTTTTGCAGTTGGATTTAAATATACAAATGAACAACAAGAGTAGTCAAGAAAGTTTCTCTATAAACCCTTTTGTAATCTGATTAACAGTCCAAAGATATTCAGGACAAGCTAGAAAGCAGAATGATTCATATTTCGCCAAATAAACCACTGAAACAATCGTATAATAACCAAAATGGTCGGTGATTACTTACTTTCCCCTCAATCAACCTCTATTATCTACTAATGTGTTTATCTATACTTGATAATAACATTTAAAGCCCAATTTCAAGCCTTCAGGTGATGTTAAAGTGGTGTGTGCCGCCCCCTGGTGGTTCCTTCATGTACCTTCATTACTCCTGTTCAGTCATTGCTCCGTTTTCTCACTCTCTTGTCATCTTTAATCCTCATCTCCCCTCTTGCTTTCTCTTGTCTCTCGTCCCCTCAGGTCTGAGATGACGTGCCTGATGGTGGCCGCGTGGAACGGACGCAGTAAGGTCATCAACCTGTTGCTTTCTCACGGAGCAGAGATCAACATCCAGGACAGAAACGGACTCACGGTCGGTCAATGAGTTTTTTTATTATAGCAGGTCCCTGAGGAAGATCGCATTTGAGCCCTGAAGTAATAATAATAATAATCAATTGTATTTATAAGCGCATTATTTCATTTGAGTAAACAAAACTCAAAGTGCTACAGAGTAAAATGGTTGAAATAAAACGACAAAATAAGAACAGCAACGTTTACGCCGGCATGGCAACAAGTGGGGGTTTATAAAAAATTTAGCAAAAGGCTTTTCTAAACAGAGGCCTTTTTTAAAAGCATCCACAAAAAAAGTGACACAAAAGAAACTTGTAGAATGCATTAAATCACAAAATAAAAGTTTATATTGCGCTGTGGATGATAACCAGAGGAGGAAGAAGAACTTAGATCTTTAACTTAAGCAAAATCTGAAATACTTTTGTCCTAAAATACTCCATTTATAGTATAGTTTAGTCAAAGCCCTAAATTCAAAATGTAACTTGATTAAAAAAAAAACGAGGTAAATGTACTTCATGTATCAAAAGTAACAGTAGTCAATAGGCAGAAAGGCCCTTTTCACAACATTATATTAATATAGAAAATTATATTATACTGTTTTAATTCCTCACAAATACACGTAAGAGCATTTACATTTTTCAGTTTGTCAATGTGGAGCCAATTTTGGATACTTATATGTAGTACAGTACTGCATTATTATAGTTTATCATGCATTTCTGTATATGAAAAAGGTAACTATGAGTATTAAAAAATATGTAGTAGAGTAAAGATTACAAATGTGTTATGAAAGGCAGTGGGATGGAAGTATAAAGTTGCATTAAATGGAAATACTTACGTAAAGAGCAATTATGTCGACTTGAGTATTGTTAGAGAAATATCACTCGTCCCCGGCTTGAGCTTCAATCTCAGGATCCATGTATTCTGATCCTCTCCAGAATGGAAGTAGTCATCACATACAGAGCATCAACTAGTTCCTGAACAGTGTCCTTCACATGCTGATATCCAAGAGAGGGAGTTACACAGTCACAAGATGGAGGAATAGAAAGCAGTATTCAATGTTTACTTCAGATTAGCTCCACGTCAGAAATGATCATGCTTGTCATATGTCTATCTCCATAGAGGCTGAATCATCATGTTAATCACATAGCTATCATATGCCTAAAACAGTCCTGATGCTCTTCTACGTAATCATACATCCTGTCATGTTCACAGCTACAGTTGGGATACCTTTGTTATCATGTTACTCTCATATTGGAAGAGGACATAAACTATTTTCCCAACAAGTATGGTACGAGAGTAAATATACTAAGTTCAAATCCACTCATACATATATTTTCTGGCAGGCTCTGTCTATCGCGGTGCAGTACGGCAAAGAGGAAGCCGTGCTGAAGCTCCTGGAGCTCGGAGCGGATAAAACTTTACGTAACAAAAAGGGAAAGAGTCCTGCAGACCTGGCTGTGAGGTTCAAACACAAACAGGTACCTCGAGTAATTGTCCTCGGGTCTAATTTGACCCGAAATGTTTTTATGTAGAAGTAGTTCATGTGTTATTTAGTAGTAGGTTGGTCTATTACAGTCTATTCTAATCTAATCTAATTGTGTATTGTTGACATGTTCTGTACATGTATGTCTTTCTACTGTCAATATGCATTTTTTAAGCTTTTTCTTGCTTAATAACATGCTACATTGACAAGAACCTGCCAATTTATGATCAATAAAGTACATTAAATCTTATCTAATTTGCATCACATGAGTTTTGGCCTTTAGTAAATTGATCTCACACAGAATACAGATACCAGTAAAAGACATAAAACAAACAAAAAATTGCATATAGTAGACATATATAAAAAATACAACGATGAAATTGTGCATTAAAAGGAGGATAGTGCAAATTCAACACACAATCAGGTGACAGGTTAAAATGCATCGCAGTAGGGACATGAGTACTTGTGATGTACTGGAGTTATTTCCACCGCTAAATCACGATATATCCTAACGTGAGTGTGTGATTGCAGATCGGCAGAATCCTGGCGTCTTCGTCCCACATCGCCACCGTGCAGGCCTTCAGCTCCATGGAGGAAAACCTCTCCAAGTTCTTCACGACTAACTCTGAACCGCCTCCTTCCAAAGAGAGGTAAGACCACCTGAGACAAAACATGAGTAGCTATAGAGTGGTGCAGCGACGACTCCTAAAACCAGGAAGTGAGTCAGCATTTCACCACTTCCTGTTCCCTCGTCTCAGAGCCAATGGGATCTCTCCATAGGATTTTGGAAAACAGCTTGAAATAAGGTCTGTGGTTGACACGCATTTAAGAGACGGATCACGTTTTGTTCTACGCCAAACTACTTGCATATAGTTTTTCCAATATTCACGAAACGCTGTATAGACATTGCTCTTATGATTGCACACATATTTCAAATTGGTTTTCATAAGCCCCGCCCCCCAGGAAGTCGGCCATTTTGAAAAATGTGAGTGTTTTAAGCACATTTTTGCAAACTCCTCCTAGGGAAATGATCGGAAAAATTCCAATCCAGGACAAGTTCAGCCCATATCCAATGTGATGCTAAATTGCCAAGGAATAGTCGATCGCTCAAACAAGGAGCTCGTAAGCTAACGGAGAATGTACCATTTTTGACGATTTACATGTCACAAATTACTACATTAAATCCATCAGCAGTGACCCCACTGGTGATTTCTGAAGAGTTTACGTGTCTGAAAAACGATGGTTGTTAACAAGTGGCTGAATAGGACTACAGAAGTTGTCGAGGCCGTTGTACGTCATTACGCCGAACACGTAAACACTCCCGCTAAGTTTGTTTGCCCTGTTCGGCTTGAAAGCAAGTACCTGTCTCCTGCAAACTGTTCAAACAAACGCTTCAATTTTTAATCTGTAGTTTTGAATATGGATCTTAAGTTGGCGTGACGTTGAAGCAGCGACCCTGCGGTACTCGGCTGTAGTTCCTTTATAACATAACGTTAGCATTTTGCTTCTGGCGATTACATTTATGATTAGAAAATTATAAAAGTAGGGTAGACATGTGGAGATTATCTGACTGAACAAAACGTGCATTCATCAAACGGGTTTGTTTTCCACAGACCTTATTTCGAGCTATGTTCCAAAATCCTATGGAGAAATCCCGTTGCTTTTTTGTCGAGGGAACCAGCAGCTTATTTCCGGGTAAATACGTCATCCCTGCTCCGCTTTATTTATGTAGCAACATACAACACATGCAGCTCACAAAATGACACATCACAAGTTATAAATAAACAAGAATTTCCCCTCAGATTATTTGTTAAGAACTTTAAAAGGTACATGCAGCAATTGTATAACATGTTAACAGGTTAATAGACACAAGGAGGTAAAAGGTATGATAATAAAAATAAAATTAATAATGATTTCTCCCCAACAGAAGACAACAATATAAAACCCCATAAAAGTAAGACCTGAAGGCGCTGAATAAAACACAACCACAGACATTCGTTCAGCACCTTCAAGTCTTAGTCATGTATGACATTAAATGTGTTTTTGAATTTGTCTTACATACAGTAAATAGGTACCCGAAACCTTTACATGGCGTACAAGGGAGAGAGAAAAAAACCTGGGTATTAGATTAACAATTCCTGAGAATAGTCTAAAGCTGCCATTCGACAGCATCGTAGACATAATCAAAAAGCAATGAAGTAATGTGTTTTTGAAGTTTAACGTGTGGGTCATATATTACATTATACTATACCGTCGTTTGGGCACGTCTGCTTTACACTCATCTGCTGTAAAGCAACTTGGTGTTTGTCGCCCCCTGTTGGATTGTCTGTGAACTAGTTCCTGTGCAGCAGGTGTTGTTGATCCGTTGTTTAACCAGACATAAACAACAACAAACCTCTGGCATGAGTGTTTATTCTGTTCACACAGAAACATTGTGTTTGAGCAGCAGGAGTGACGGCCTGCGAGCATTTCAGCGGTTCCTCTGTGAGGCACAAAGACGTGGAAACACTTCAACGCCCGTCATGAGAGGAGAAGCTCGTACGCAAAGCTCCTCATCAAAACACTCTGAACACTGAGTTTAGCTGAGAGTACACTGAGAGTACACTGAGAGTACACTGAGAGTACACTGAGAGTACACTGAGAGTACACTGAGAGTACACTGAGTTTAGCTGAGAGTACACTGAGTTTAGCTGAGAGTACACTGAGTTTAGCTGAGAGTACACTGAGTTTAGCTGAGAGTACACTGAGTTTAGCTGAGAGTACACTGAGTTTAGCTGAGAGTACACTGAGAGTACACTGAGAGTACACTGAGAGTACACTGAGAGTACACTGAGTTTAGCTGAGAGTACACTGAGTATAGCTGAGAGTACACTGAGAGTACACTGAGAGTACACTGAGTTTAGCTGAGAGTACACTGAGTTTAGCTGAGAGTACACTGAGTATAGCTGAGAGTACACTGAGAGTACACTGAGAGTACACTGAGTTTAGCTGAGAGTACACTGAGTATAGCTGAGAGTACACTGAGAGTACACTGAGAGTACACTGAGTTTAGCTGAGAGTACACTGAGTATAGCTGAGAGTACACTGAGTTTAGCTGAGAGTACACTGAGTTTAGCTGAGAGTACACTGAGTTTAGCTGAGAGTACACTGAGAGTACACTGAGAGTACACAGAGTACACTGAGTTTAGCTGAGAGTATACTGAGTATAGCTGAGAGTACACTGAGTTTAGCTGAGAGTACACTGAGTATAGCTGAGAGTACACTGGGTATAGCTGAGAGTACACTGGGTATAGCTGAGAGTACACTGAGAGTACACTGAGAGTACACTGAGTATAGCTGAGAGTACACTGAGTTTAGCTGAGAGTACACTGGGTATAGCTGAGAGTACACTGGGTATAGCTGAGAGTACACTGAGAGTACACTGAGAGTACACTGAGTTTAGCTGAGAGTACACTGAGTTTAGCTGAGAGTACACTGAGTTTAGCTGAGAGTATACTGAGTATAGCTGAGAGTACACTGAGTTTAGCTGAGAGTACACTGAGTTTAGCTGAGAGTATACTGAGTATAGCTGAGAGTACACTGAGTTTAGCTGAGAGTACACTGAGTTTAGCTGAGAGTACACTGAGTTTAGCTGAGAGTACACTGGGTATAGCTGAGAGTACACCGAGTTTAGCTGAGAGTACACTGAGTATAGCTGAGAGTACACTGAGTTTAGCTGAGAGTACACTGAGTTTAGCTGAGAGTATACTGAGTTTAGCTGAGAGTATACTGAGTTTAGCTGAGAGTACACTGAGTTTAGCTGAGAGTATACTGAGTTTAGCTGAGAGTACACTGAGTATAGCTGAGAGTATACTGAGTTTAGCTGAGAGTATACTGAGTTTAGCTGAGAGTATACTGAGTTTAGCTGAGAGTACACTGAGTTTAGCTGAGAGTATACTGAGTTTAGCTGAGAGTACACTGAGTTTAGCTGAGAGTACACTGAGTGAATGTACTTGTATGTATGGTCCTTGTTGAAATAAATACATAATAATAGCAGGTTATTCCTCCCGAAGTATCCTTAAACAATGACTTCTTGTAGAAGAGGTAAGATAAGATCAATAAAGTACTATCTTATCTTACCTCTTCTACAGGAAGTCATTGTTTAAGGATACTTCAGGATGGTTTATTCCTCCTGATTTGAGGCCTTGCACCAGCGTTTCCTCCAGGGGGGCGTCTTGCCGTCATTTGACGCCCTTATTCAGCTCAGAACGCCCTGAACTCGAGCCGAGGGCGTCCAAAAAAATTAATAATTCGAGAAAAGGTCAAGAGTTTTTATCGCTTGAAATGACAAAAAGGAAAAAGGACAAGGACACCCCTCTGTTGGAGGGGCAAAGGAGTCTGGTGGGATTCTTTTCGGAGTATTGAAGATCGTTTCCCCAACATCTGCGGTGCCTGCCACAGCACAATACGGAACGTGCACGATTTGCGCGTGAACTGCGAACGCCGGAGCCTCGCAGCGGCGAAACTGAGGCTCCGTGGTAAACTGTGGTAACATGAAGAGCCGTTTGGGAAGGCGCTTTAAGAGAGCCGAGTCAAATGATCCGGCTCACTAACGTAAAGAGATAGTATCTATTGTCGCGTTTCCACTACACGGCCTCGCTCGGCCCCGCTCGGTATGGCTAGGCCTCGTTAGGACTGGCTCACTTTATGGCGCATTTCCATTACAGTTTAGGAACTGGGGCAGTATCTATAGTAACGCAGTGTAGGCGGAGCCGTGACGTGATCTTCAGAGGACCCCAGAAAAACAACACAGCCGTTAGCTGTTAGCACTCAGAGCTCACAGCTCCTCATATATGTTCAGAAACTAGACAAAAGTTAAACAAGTACAAACCACAGACTGCCTGTGTCATGGTGAATACAGTCGCTGCTTTATTTATGTCTGTATAGGCCGTTGTTGTGAGTGTGGACGGTCGGAGCATATACTGCGTTAGCTTAGCCAATCTCCATTTAGAAAACAAGCATTTGAAAAGGTTTTTCGCCTGCCGTCTGTCTGCAGACTTGACAAAGCATTAATTCATGGTTTTTACTAACCGGTATCAGTATGTTGTTACTTGAAACGTGTATTACAATTAAATCACGGTCAAATATGTCCATCTTGTTGTAGTTGTTGCCCCCTTGCCAGCGACGCTCTCTCTAGTTTAGCATACTCAGCCCGACTCAGCCTCGTTGTCTCTGGCCCTGGACCCACGATTTTATGAGGCCAGAAAAACTGTGAATTAGGACCCGCCGGCCGGTACTAGGCCAAGTGGAAACGCAACCAAAGACGGGCCGCTGACGTCACAGCTCTCTTAAACCGGGCTGCGCGCTGTAGTGGAAACGCGCCATATAAGGGACGGCTCAATTCAAAATCCCCCCCCTGCTCTCGGGGTGGACGCCCTCTCAGCCCTGGTCTGGCGGAAACACTGCCTTGCAATAAATGATGATTCCCCATTTCCAGTATGTCACTGCTGCACAATCAACCAACATTTTATAAAAATTGCAATATGGACTTTATCCAAATCCCTAATTAGCAATTCGATATTTTTGAAGAACCTACACTTCTCTATTTATATAGTTTTAGTGCATGTCTACTCTCAGCTGGGTCATACTTTGGAAAATTCTATATTTGTAGTTTTTTATTGATGACATAACTCATTGATTTGCTAAAAGTCGTCTCTCTGCTCTTCAGTGTAACCAAGCTCGGTGACCTTGAGCTCTTCCTTCACGGCCTCAGTCTCGGCCACCTCTCCGACATCATGACTGTAAGTACTGAATGCATGAAGTAATATATATCAATGTGTTTATAAAATATGTATTCATCTCTAAATTGTGCTAGGGCTTTTGTGACTATTTTTGACTGATATTGCATTTACGATATGATGAGGAAGTCATTGTTTATGATTCATGATTTTGAAGGGATGGATAATTTTTTTGTACTTTATTCGTATTCCCATTAAAACATATATTATATGATGATGGTGTGATAGAGAGGCGAAGTCCCGCCCATCTACTTCCGACCCATGGGACCTTATTTCGGAAAAATGATGTATTGAAGTCAATGGGGAGAGAAAGATTATCTTTCGATCCCGTTTGAATTGTGCCACGAATTACACATATGATGTTTGTCAATCTTAAAGATAATTTGTCGAAAAACTGTTGAAATATAAGACTATGAAAAATACGCAACTAGAAAGACTACAAATCCCAGAATCCCGGTCCCGCATGCTGGCTCTTAGGAACCGACTAACTCCCCTTGTGTGTATGTACAGCTCTCAACATGCCCAGACTTGGAGTGATTTTCACCTCTTTTAATACTTTTCGCCTCATTCTGAAAGAAAGAAGTGAAATGTGCCAACGTGACGGCCGTCTTGGTGTGTGGTGCGAGACGGGAGATGTAGTTCATTGAGCGGTTTCACACAAAAAAAGTGTTACTTCACAGTTTTACGACACATTTTAATTTGTTTGACTTGCAAAATTATCTTTTAAATTGACAAACATCATATGTGTAATTCGTGGCACAATTCAAACGGGATCGAGAGATAATCTTTCTCTCTCCATTGACTTCAATGCATAACTTTTCCGAAATAAGGTCCCATGGAAGTCCACCTGAAGGGGAGGGACTTCGCCTCTCTATTGTCTCAAGAGGATTTAAACTAAACAAATAAGTGTTAAGTCTGCAGAGTAAGATTTGTAGGCGGAGAGATCTCTGCAGCTCCACAATACTTTATCCAAAATGGTATTTTAACAGATTTTTTGCCTTGAACAACCATCTTGCTTCTTGATATTTGAAAATGTACTCATCCATTAGGGGTGGGGGAAATAATTTTTTTATATAAACTGTAGCATATCCCTCCGAAAGATGGTCGTATATAAAACAGGAAGTTACGTTAAGACATGTATATGCAATGAAAGTAACAAAAACAATGCCATCTCCTTTTCAGGTTCAAATAACACAAATTGGGTTATTTACATAAACTATTCATATTGCAAATACATTTTTTAACCAGGCAGTGAAGACGGACATGGATACAGTATGACCCATGTGATTTGCAATATCGCAATATATCGTATCGCAATACTTAGCATATCGTAGAATCGCAATACTACCGTACCGTGGCTTAAGTATCGCGATAGTATCGCATCGTGGGGAGCCCGGTGATTCCCACCCCTATCATCCATTATGCAATTTCTATTAAATGTGGGTTATCGTGCAGGCCTAAAATGAGCGCACATTGCTATCCTATCTGTTCCCTCATCTCTTCAATTCCCACATGCTGATCAGAGATAATATTCTGTTACAGTATTAGATCCACGGGTGAGATGCTGTGATCCTAAATATGAGGAAGCACAGCTGCGTTAATGGCAGACTGACATTTGCTTTGGAACCTGTCACGAGAAGACGGGTTTACATATTTGACTCCATAATGGATCCACTGTGCTGCTTTGAGCTGGATTCAAACTGAGGGTCAGTTTTAGAGCCGCTCTGATAAATGAGGTCGGGTTTGACGGGTGCAGGTAGATTGTTTTTCAAAGCCTCATGCAGGCACATCTGTTTCAGCCGTACAAGTTTTGATTCGGTCTGTGTTTCCACTTTCACACTCATCTATTTCCTTTCCACACACACACACACACACACACACACACACACACACACACACACACACACACAGGAGAATGACATCACCTGGAGCTACCTGTTGACCATGGACAAGCAGGACATGGAGAAGGTATAGTGAAAGTTCGTCTGTCGGCTCTGGAGAAGCTGATCAATTCAGAAAAAAGGGATTGCACTGACACTGAGTGTTTTTCTAGGATCATTCTTTAGGTAAACTGTATTTCTGTAGACTTTAACCGACCTGATATGTGTCGTAAGTGGTGAATAAATGAAAAAGGAGTATGTTAGGTGCACCTCATATGGCACACATATGGGTCATTATCACCATGTTGAGATTCTTAAATGTATTTTCAGCTTGTGGTCAGATTTACATGCAGGTCGCCTCATTATTGTGTACGTTGCGCTCCAAATTAGCAACTTTCTCGCTAGGTTTAGCAACTTTCCAGTCCCTCTTAGCAACTTTATTCCTAGAAAGCAACACATTTAGCAACTTTCCAGTCCCTCTTAGCAACTTTATTCCTAGAAAGCAACACATTTAGCAACTTTCCAGTCCCTCTTAGCAACTTTATTCCTAGAAAGCAACACATTTAGCAACTTTCCAGTCCCTCTTAGCAACTTTATTCATAAAAAGCAACACATTTAGCAACTTTCCAGTCCCTCTTAACAACTTTATTCCTAGAAAGCAACACATTTAGCAACTTTCCAGTCCCTCTTAGCAACTTTATTCCTAGAAAGCAACACATTTAGCAACTTTCCAGTCCCTCTTAGCAACTTTATTCCTAGAAAGCAACACATTTAGCAACTTTCCAGTCCCTCTTAGCAACTTTATTCCTAGAAAGCACCTTTCCAGTCCCTCTTAGCAACTTTATTCCTAGAAAGCAACTTTCCAGTCCCTCTTAGCAACTTTATTCCTAGAAAGCAACTTTCCAGTCCCTCTTAGCAACTTTATTCCTAAAAACCAACACATTTAGCAAATTTCCAGTCCCTCTTAGCAACTTTATTCCTAGAAAGCAACTTTCCAGTCCCTCTTAGCAACTCTATTCCTAGAAAGCAACACATTTAGCAACTTTCCAGTCCCTCTTAGCAACTTTATTCCTAGAAAGCAACACATTTAGCAACTTTCCAGTCCCTCTTAGCAACTTTATTCCTAAAAAGCAACACATTTAGCAACTTTCCAGTCCCTCTTAGCAACTTTATTCCTAGAAAGCATCACATTTAGCAACTTTCTCAGACCATCAGGGTAACGGTCAACTTGTACATTTTCTACTTTTAATGCCGTTTTATTTCAATTTTGAGATGTTTACATTTTAGAATTGTTTATTTCTACTGTTCAAATTTCTTCTCATGTGTGCTGCCAAAATCCCAATTTGGGATCAATACATCACATCTGATCTTATTCATCAGGGGGAAAAGCCTGTTGCAAATGGTGCATGTCTTTTACAAAGTTTGCGTTTTTAATAACTGACAGAAGTTGATGTTAAATTCCAGTCCAGAAGTTTGTCAGACGTCATGGTAAATAGCAAACAAACATGTTAGAAATGACACATCAATATATTTCCTTTTGATGTATTATTGCAGTTTGCCTTGTGTTAAATCGTAAGCTCAATAAAGCATTGTAAAGCTTCCTGCAGCTGTAGAAACAGGTATATGTATCATACAGTTTGATGATTTCTCTGAACGTACAACATGAGAAAATACTTTTTTCTGACAGGTGGGCATCACAGACCCGGAGGCCCAGCAGAAATTGCTGAGTGCTGTGCAGCAGATGCATCTGGACAAAGTGGACTTGGACACAATCAGCTTACCTGCAGAAAGTGGGTAAGGTATCCCATAATACTCAGCAGGCGCAGCTGGGAGACTCCTGGGAAACAGTTTTAAGAGTGTTTCTCTCAACAAAAACCCATTATCCCTATTACTGGGGAAAACACCAGAGGAAATACAAAAAGAAGATTCCTATCTATTTCTGGTAATTAGAATAGTGATCATCAAACAAATTACAAGGAATTGGCTAAAAGATAATGACTTAGTGGAATAACTTAGTAAATGAAATCTATGTAATGGAGAAAACAACTATGAGAATTAGAAACCAAATGCATATCTTTGAGGAAAAATGGGTCAAGTATAGAACACCATAATTAATGTATACCTGAGTCAGTGGTGGCGCTATACTTTTTCGCTGCCCGTCGGACAGGATCTTAAAATGTCCGTCAAAATCCATTATTACCCGTCGGTCTGTACAACGGGGGGGGGGGGCATTTCAATGATCTGTACGGCAAAGTTAGGTTTGGAAACGGTATAATTTCCTTTTGGAGGGCATGCATAACACCGGAGCCTCGCTGTGGGGAAACTTTGGCGCTGTTCTGGGTTTGTTCTAATCTGTCAAAATGACGGACTGCTTTCAGATTTTTCCGTCATTGTTATAAAAAAAAATCCGTCATGGACGGAAAATATTCGGTTAACGCGACCACTGACCTGAGTATTAATAATGTATCCATTATTTTATTTGTAATATTATTATTACTATTTTATTATTTATTTTCGTATTTGTCATCTGTTCTGTAGTTAATCTATGTACCTAGATGTGTTTATTTTGTTATGTATGCTTTGTGAATATTTTCTTAAAATGCAAATACATTTTTTTTTTTAAATAGTCAGTACGGTGAAAAAAATAAAAATGCCCAGCAGGTGGCGGCAATGAAAAACCTGTACCTACTAGATGAGTATCTTAAAATACGCAAAAAATACCTTTTTTATAGGAAAACTAATTGTTACTTTTGAGGATTAGTTTACTTTTCAAGAAGAGCTTGATTTGACTAAAGCTGTGTAGGCTTTGTTTGTAATTTGCACAATAGCTACAGCCTAGTTGTTGGCAATGAAAGTCCAATCCTCCTCTATCAATGCAACGTACAATATACTTAACAATTCATTAATGTTTAATGAATAATACTTGAAGACGAAAGGACAAACAGTAGTGCCAAAAAATAGTTCAACAGACCGAAAAGTGCAAGTAAGTTGCAGAAATAGAACAAATATGTACATAAAAGACAGGATAAGATAAACAATGCTAAACTAATGCTGTTAAGTAGAATAAATACTGTAATATATAAAACATCTGATCAGAGGCTTCGTTCTCACCACTTTTGCTATTTTATATTACCCTGTCTTATTACTAAAATATACTTCTAAGCAGTGTTTCCGCCAGACCAGGGCTGAGAGGGCGTCCACCCCGAGAGTGGGGGGGGGGTGATGTCATGTCACGTGACTTGAATTTTGAATTGAGCCGTCCCTTATAGATACTATCTCTTTACGTATTAGTGATGGGAATTGCGGATCATTTGTCTCGGCTCACTAAGAAGAGCCGGCTCTTTCGGCTCCTAAACGGCTCTTCATGTTACCACAGTTCACCACGGAGCCTCAGTTTCGCCACTGCGAGGCACCGGCGCTCGCAGTTCACGCGCATGCTCCAATAGCACCCCCCGTCAAGGCTCGCCGGCAGTACACTTTCCGTCACAGGAACACGCTTTGGTGGCAGCAAAAATAATCCCACCAGACTCCTTTGCCCCTCCAACAGAGGGATGTCCTTTTTCCTTTTCGTGATTTCAAGCGATAAAAACTCGATCTCTCAAATTATTTATTTTTTTGGACGCCCTCGGCTCGAGTTCAGGGCAAATGACGGCAAGACGCCCCCCTGGCGGAAACGCTGCTTCTAAGAGCATTTCATGTTGTAGTTTTGTCCATGTGGACATCATCTTAAATACTTAAAGAAATAAGAGGTAATACTTTACTGGATCATATCATGTAATGTGTTTTTATATAGAAACGAAGCGACTAGTAACTATGAGGGTTGATAAATGTACTACAGTGCATTTAAAAAGTACAATACTTCCTTCTGAAATATAGTGGAAATAGTTGTGCCAGAGTTACAAAAACACAATAAACACAGCAGCACAATAATAATAAAACTGTACACTGTGCAGTGAAACACAGACGGTCACATAATTAATGTCAATATTACCAGTATTTAGTAGTGCGAAAAAAGGTAGTGGCAGATACATAATTGCACGTTATCATAGCACATTATTAATATTAATAATATTGCACATGTTATATAGCAGCGAGTCTTTTGTAATGATGGTAATGATATTTATATTGCACATAGTGTTGAAATAGTACAGTACAAGTATGTTAAAATAGTACTTAAGTACAGTACTTTGACTACGTTTAACTCGTTAAATTCCACCACTTGTTTTACAGTGGACATCCTTGTTTCAGTCTGCTAGAACATGTCGTATTATCTGTCAGATGCAAAGACAGAGTCGTCCACAAACACTGCGCTGAGCCAAAAACAAAGCTGACTATAGTAGCAAAACTTTAAACACTTGTCAGCCGCACACCTTTAACCCTCCCCCGCATCCAGCCCTCCTCCATCTCCCCGTAATGCCGATCTGTCCTCCTCTGCGTAAAGTCGTCCATCAGGAGCATCTCGCTGTCCTCGCTCCGTAATCCCACCCTCACTTCTCCTTCTCCCAGCCCGGAGCCAAGCGCTAATGGTTTAAGCGCAGCTGTAATGATTTGTAAGGTGAGAGGCGATGAGAAAGTAGAGCCGGTGGCAGAGGCCAAACAAAGACATCGCAGCGCACCCCATCACTTCACGACTCCTCTGCAGGACGGAGAGAGACACCGTCCAATAGAGAGAGGGGATTTTAAAATGAGAGGGATGGATGGCTTCAACACGGACAGATCTCCTTAAGAGCTCTATTGGGATCATTATTTCACACTGGAAAAGTAGTCCTGCAAATAACTTGTTGACATGTCAGGGACCTGAAGAAGAAATAGGCCTGGAGGATAAAAATGTAACGCATGTTAACAGTTAGAAATATTAATAATAAGATGATAATTAACTCAGAGCTATAGTGGGACTGGTTTTTCTAGGGAAGCCTCCACTTTGACAGAAATCCAACAATCTTTCAGTTTGTGTGTAAAGACAGAGAGATCGAAATACCGTTTCCCACAATCCCGAACGTCTCGAATGTCCCGAAAAGTGAGGGTAAATGCTAAAGACAACGCCTTTTGTGCTTCATTATCTAAAGCTGGCTACACACCAGCCCGATTTTGGGAGTCAGAGGCAGTCGGGCATTCGCGGCGCCCTACTCAGGTTGGTGTGTCCCACACCGTCGTCTCTTTACGGCACCTTTTCACACCTCCACCTTCAACATGTTGAATCGGCCGCGGGACGTCAGAGAAAGTCGGCCCAAGCAATCACTCTGATTGGCTGTTCACACTACCGCTGCCTGCTGGTAAGGACAGTTATTGCCACTCGTCCACTGAAGTATTTGCGGTGTGTTCGTAGGCGGGCGGCGTAACCGACGCAGGCGACGTAGCTGACGTAAAAGTCGGGACGCCTTCGGTACGCGTTCTTTGGTCTCAGGTGGGTGTGTAGCGGCCTTAAGAGAACAGGATTAACAGACATGCCAAACAAAGTGCCGCTTTGCAGGGTTTCATAAGCAAAATCCTTCGTCTTGGAGTAGCCATGAAGAACGACATTTGTTGGACCTAAAAGACTGTCAAATTAGTCGGGTATTGTGAAGCCCTGTTAGCCATTCTGGCTCGATCTAGAGGCGCCATGTGGCAGAGTTAGCAGAGTGTTAAAAAACTCAGCACATCCAAGGCCATGGAGTTATTCCGCTGTATTAGGTGCCATCTTTTTCCTCATTATGCACCTGCAGGAAAACTGACACCTCTTTCATCCGCTATTTAATGTCTTTATTTCATCCTATTTATCCTGCAAACAAAAAACAGGACAAATAGCACGGGGCACAAAAGATAGACCACCTCCTAAGAAAGTTTATAAAAATGACTTGACTGAAATACTGCTGGTGTGAAGTGAATAAACTTGCATCCCGTTCCCATCATCAGCTATAAAATGGCACTTGCTGGTGGAAAAATGGCAAATAGCATTCCCTGGATAAATACAGTTCCCTGACAAAGTGGCATACATGCATCCACTATCAGCGACCGTAGAAAACATAATGTTCCTGTGCATCTACAACCCATTCTACGATGTTCCCACCGGGGGCCCATCATCACTCTCCGCTCCCTAGATAAACTAACAGCAGGCGGAGGACTGACAGTGTTTACTCGGCCCTCTGACAGAGTGTGAGGAGCTGTCCCCTCACCACGGGAAATGTAGCATTTAAGATAAGAGCTATATCAATATCCCACAGCACCAGGGGATGGGAAGAGTCGGATGAATATGAATAACCATCGTTTAAGGTGGATGTTTTTCAAGGAGGGAGGACAGCGTTGGGCTCGACCACCTGCTGGGTTTACTACGGTTTGGAGAGGGGGGAATGGAGAATGTGAACACTATTAATCTGTCTGACTGTCAGTGGTGGGCATCTTCAGCAGGCCTTCCCTTGTTTTTATACGAGTACGTCTAATTGGGGCTCAGTTTTTAAAGAAGAACCTTCTGACCTCCGCTTTAAAGCTCCAAAACGTCTGGGACATGTCCGATGAGTTCACATTGTGCCACATCAGTTATGTAAATTACTGTTTTCTGCAGACTGAAATTGTAATCTCAATTGACAACTGTGATAGAGTGGTGACATATTTTTGTAGGCCCGACTGGAAGATAGCACTGCAAGGGCTCCCTAGACAAAAAGCTATGGGAATTTTCCATATATAATATAAATATTGCAGAAAAAAGCCTGTTTTGTTCAGCAGGATCATCTCGACATATCAAAACAATCTGTGAAGTCTAAATGCAATCACCTGAAAGAAAAAGTTAATGTCTTTAAAAGGAACTAAGCTAAAGGAGGCTAATGTTGGGCTATAAAAGAACTACAGCACGGTCACATGACTTCACGTCACCACCGCTAAGCTAAAGGAGACTAATGTTGGGCTATAAAGGAACTACAGCACGGTCACATGACTTCACGTCACCACCGCTAAGCTAAGGGAGGCTAATGTTGGGCTATAAAGGAACTACAGCACGGTCACATGACTTCACGCCACCACCGCTAAGCTAAAGGAGGCTAATGTTGGGCTATAAAGGAACTACAGCACGGTCACATGACTTCACGTCACCACCGCTAAGCTAAAGGCGGCTAATGTTGGGCTATAAAGGAACTACAGCACGGTCACATGACTTCACGTCACCACCGCTAAGCTAAAGGAGGCTAATGTTGGGCTATAAAAGAACTACAGCACGGTCACATGACTTCAGGTCACCACAGCTAAGCTAAAGGAGGCTAATGTTGGGCTATAAAGGAACTACAGCACGGTCACATGACTTCACGTCACCACCGCTAAGCTAAAGGCAGCTAATGACGTTTAGTCGTCTCATTTAGACACTTGTTTGCAACCGCCGTTTTATTGGCACATCGAAGCTTCGGGCATCAATGGGTTGGGGAATTTACTGACTTATTATATGTGGTAAAACTAAACTTAGATATCTCTTAAGCTTGTGTTCACCAGGCGTTTAACCAAAAACACGTTAAATAAAGTGCCGACTTTAGGACGAGAGAAACAAAGGTGGTAATGAACTCATTGCCTGTTGTACTTGCATCAAAAAGTAAAATATTTTTTTATGTACATCATTGTTTGTTGTCTGTTTTGCAGGAGTGAGGATCTGCATACCTTCCTGATCAGCTTGTGGCAGCAGTGCTGTTACCTGACGGAGACGGTTCATGACGCCAACGGGAGATTCCCCAGCCACGCCTCTCAGGTGAGTCTCTCTGTAGTGGTTCACTGAAAATATATTCATCATCAAACACTTTTATAATTCATAATCATTTTCATATGATTACGTAGCAGGGGCTGCCTGTTTTTTTACAAAGCTTGGATGGGTAACTTTTCTCATTGTGCAGCTGCTTCAACGTCCTTTTTAAATGTCCCTTCCAGCCATTCTTTTTGTAAATGATTAATTTGCCTTATATTCCAATTTCTTTATCCGTTAGTTATTTTATTAGTTTTTCTTTGGGTTTTTCTGGTCCCCAGGTTCAGTTTTTTTACCCGGCTACACTGTAAATGATGTCTCTACCTCAATGTTTTTCCAAGTAAAAATAAAAAGATTGTATATTTTACCATTAAGAGCTTATGTTAAAGACATGTTGATGCTATATTCTAACTCAGTTGAAGGTGCCCATGTGAATCCTTCTCGGAGCGCTTAAACCAGTATCCTAAAGCACAAGTACAAATCAAAAAGAATCCAGATTTAATTGAAATATTCCCACACTTAATTCTGTACACTTATGTGAAGAACCTCCTCTGTCTGCTAATGGCTCTGTTGCTTTGTTAGCAGCTATATTATTTTATATGATTCTATATTTACTAACCTGAACTGTGTCTCCGTGCAGCTGGTCTGGTCTCTGGACCCGAATAAGGAGGCGCAGGCCGTCTGCAACAAGCTGGTGGTCCAGACCAGAGACCTGCAGAAGGAGGTCACCTGCCTCCGGAACATTCTCTGCCAGGTCCACACACACGCGCACGCATGCACACACACACAAACATGAAGTACACTCGTTCTTGAAAACACACTCAAGTTATTTTGGTCTGGTTCTTTCTCCCATCACACACACATACACACTCGCTCGCACACACACACTCGCTCGCACACACACACTCGCACGCACACACACACACACACACTCGCTCGCACACACACACTCGCACGCACACACACACACACACACTCGCTCGCACACACACACTCGCACGCACACACACACTTGCACACGCACACACGCACACGCACTCGCGCACACACACTCGCACACACACTCGCACGCACACACACACTTGCACACGCACACTCGCACACACACACTCGCACATACACTCGCGCGCACACACACACACACACACACACACACACACACACACACACACACACACACACACACACACACACACACACACACACACACACACACACACACACACACACACACACACACACACACACACACACCTTACTATTCGTTTAAAAAGCAAACAGGGAGATTTTAGATTGATTTGTGTCTCTCTCAGTTCATTCATAGGAAAATCAATGCTCTGGTTTCTGGAGTCAGCAAATATATTTTAACTTAGCGGCGTATAATAATATAAATATGTGTTCCATGTTATTTTCTTTTTATGTTTGTGCAGGAAACAACATTATATTACAAGCAAATCATTATTTAGTCTTTATATATTGTAGTACAATTTGCAGATTTTTACTTAGCTCCGTATAATGATATACACACACACACACTCACACACACACACTCACACAGCTGAGCTCATTATTCTGCAACTGTTCATAATTTTCAAGTTGATGCCGGTATAACAAACTTCACAAATCGCTTATCAACATTGACAATGATTTGGATACATGCCTGATAATCTGATAGATGGTGTCTTTTATTTTGTTAACCGTTTATAACATCATTCAGGCTGAAACACATTCACACTTCATGCACGTCAATCTGAATTCCTCTCCGAGAGTCTGAGAGCCTCTTACTACTGAGGATTAAAAAAGGTGCAGAACATAGTGTGTGTCTTACATGTTGCTATATATGAATCCTGACGAGCTCCAACAGGTATGTGCGGGAGTGACTGCATGTGTGCACCTGACCAAGTGTGTGTGTGTGTGTGTGTGTGTGTGTGTGTGTGTGTGTTTGTATTCCAAGAGGAGAGAGTCGTTCCTGACAGGGCAGAATCCTCACAGCCCATAAGTCAGCGCCGCTGTGACATCGAGCTGTCAGCACCAAGACGATGAGGCGGGGGGGGTATGGGGGGGGAAGGTGACGGGGCACATGGGAAGTTGAGGGTGTGGCGGGGGGAGAGAGAGGACGCAGGTTGGCGAGGTGAGGGAGTTTAAGAGGGGAGAAAACGGAGAGGTGGAGGTACGGAGGGAGGCGGGTTAGAAGCAGATAAAGGTGTGTGTGTGTGTGTGTGTGTGTGTGTGTGTGTGTGTGTGTGTGTGTGTGTGTGTGTGTGTGTGTGTGTGTGTGTGTGTGTGTGTGTGTGTGTGTGTGTGTGTGTGTGTGTGTGTGTGTGTGTGTGTGTGTGTGTGTGTGTGTGTGTGTGTGTGTGTGTGTGTGTGTGTGTGTGTGTGTGTGTGTGTGTGTGTGTGTGTGTGTGTGTGTGTGTGTGTGTGTGTGTGTGTGTGTGTGTGTGTGTGTGTGTGTGTGTGTGTGTGTGTGTGTGTGTGTGTGTGTGTGTGTGTGCTGACAGCCAATGGAGTCCATTTGGAACCACCGGCTCACAGCCTGGGATACACACACATTTAACCTTGTCTCCTGAAAAACACACACACACACTCTCTCTCTCTTGATTCACTCGTGTCTCTTAATTAGCTAGAGCTCTCACTACTCAAGCTGAGAGACACACTACAATATATATATTTGGTACTTATTTTATGTTGCACTGAAACAAGTTTAAAAAAACAAACATTAAATCAGAAGCAGTAATGGAGATGATGCTTGTTACCGCCATCTAGTGTCCATGTCGATAAATGTGTGTTAGTGAGGGAACAAGTGGGAATATGAAACAAGACGGGAAAGCAGAAGTGTGCTTTAGGAACGTTATTGATGTAAACATGAGTGCCAAAGCACAAGGATGTTTATTTAACAAAAGTAAAAAGTTATCGTGGTGGTTAATTAGGGACCACTACCTGAAAATGATCATCGTTCCTGTCCAGTGGCGGGTGTGTAAGGGGTCGAGGGAGAGAAAGATAAAGGGAGCAAACGTGTGTGTTCAGTAATGTAGCCGTGCAGTGTGTGTGTACAGCATATTTGTATATATATATATATTTAAGCAGTGACTTCAGCGTAAATTCCCAGTTGATATCCGTGTTTGTTTCACTCTGCCGGAGATGTGTCTGGTGTGTTTGGAGACAACACATCAAACACGTTGCATTTTACACATTACAAATATCTAATAATATCCAACATGGAGCAGGCTTTATGATAAAAGAGTATTTAACTGTGTGTTTTGAATAAGTAATACTGTCTTTAGAGATGGCACCCTTGCTGCATTTAGGTCCTGTGGGAAAAAGGCCTTCCCGTCATTCACACCAAGAACATGCTCACTAGTGATGTCCAGGACACTATAGAAAGTCTGTGTTTCGGTGCCAAACCACACAAGTCATATTTACTGGAAGACATCTGAGTGTTCGGTGTAGCTCTGAGAGAGTTTACAGACAGCATTATTGCTCCGTGACTTGGCCAAAAGTTGATGAATCCTGGAGGATTTGACACAGGAAGTGTTGGTGACTCGAGTCACTCTGTGCCGTTGAGATGGGACCAGACGATCCTCTTAATGAGTCTGCGTTTTCTGATTCCTGGAAAAATACAAACAGAGATGATATTTCCCAGTCTGACAAATAAACTGCCATCATCTAGATTAGGGTTGGACCAGGGGTGTCCAAACTTTTTTCACTGACGGCCACATACAGAAAATAATACGAAGGGTGTGTGTGTGTGTGTGTGTGTGTGTGTGTGTGTGTGTGTGTGTGTGTGTGTGTGTGTGTGTGTGTGTGTGTGTGTGTGTGTGTGTGTGTGTGTGTGTGTGTGTGTGTGTGTGTGTGTGTGTGTGTGTGTGTGTGTGTGTGTGTGTGTGTGTGTGTGTGTGTGTGTGTGTGTGTGTGTGTGTGTGTGTGTGTGTGTGTGTGTGTGTGTGTGTGTGTGTGTGTGTGTGTGTGTGTGTGTGGTATGAAGGGTACATTTCAATGTTCAAAGCTTGTTATGTAAATAAGTTATTGGGCTAGATAGAAAATGTTTTCAACTTTTTAATTGACTGAATTAATTAGAAAAGTGATTTGTTGTGTTTTCTCTCATGCAAACCTCTCCTCCTCCTCTTCCTCTTCCTCAGATGGAGGAAGTTGAACCTTTCTGTCCGCTCCCTCAGCTCGGCATCGGGAGGAAACGTTTCCTGTCCGGAGTCGCACTGAGCGCGCTGGGAGCGTCCGTCCTGCTGCTGCTGCTGCAGATGAACAGGAGTGTGTGTTAAACAACAGGAGTGTGTGTTCAACAACAGGAGTGTGTGTTTAAAAACAGCATGTGTATCATGTTAGCCATCATAGTGTTTAGTTTCTGATGACGGTCGGTGAGTAACTGGATTATGAAAAGACTGATTTAGGAAAGTGTTTTGACGAGACACGTTTTTTTTTATTTGTGCGGTTGCTCTCATTTTCTACTTTCTCTGTCTTTTTAGTTTTAGTTCGGAGTCTTTCTTTGTGTTCAAAGAGTTTAAATTAAAGTTTCTTTTGAGAAACGATTACACTGTCGAATTTAAGATTAAAATCTGAAGTTTGTTTTCAATGAAAAGACTCGTTGAATTTGCTTTTAAATTGTGAATATGTGATCATTTTCAGACAAGATGATATTATTTAAGGAGATTATGTTTTTGGTTGGCTTGTCTGTTTATCTGCAGTGATACGGAAAAACTGCCGGCCCAATTTTCATCAAAAAGGTGTAGTATTTGAAGGGTGTAGCACGGGCCAAGAGAAAACACATTCAAATCAGGAGTGGATCCATATCATGAGCAGAAACCTGCATTATTTTGAACTGGAAAACTAATTATCCACGGTCTGAGCCATTGTATTATTTACAATAAGTACTTGATGCATCACATTAGCAATTTTTGGTAAATATAATAATAATACATTGAATTTATATAGCGCTTCGCATCTGCCAAGACAAATCCCGAAGCGCTTCACAACAAAAGACACTGATAACATTTAAGAGATAAAAAGTTTAAAAAAAAAACAATTAAAAGTCAGAAATAGTGATAAAAATGGCAGTACCCAGGTGTACCATGATAATATGGTACCTTTCTTTCAAGACTGAAATAAGAAGATGTATATCAACCTCATGTCTCTGCGATGAATAATGAGCTGGAGCTGCAATTCGTGAAACGTTCAGTACGGACAGGAGACCATTTTGTAAAATGTTCCTATGACAGGGTGTCCGCGGGGTCTTAAAAAGTATTAAAAAGTTGATAAATCAATTTAGTGAAAAGTAGGGCCATTAAAAAGTATTAAAAGGCATTTTCCAAGGTATTACATTTTGTAGCTAGTTCTCAATAAGTATATAAATTGTCCAAAGAGGTTGTATTCTACAGTCTGCCTGAATGTAATCATTGCGTAGGTGTGTAGTGTGATTCTGTGTAGTTTATTTATGGCATCCCGTTGGATGTGACGTCATCTGAACAGGACATCGCACGCTCACTGCTTGATAGTGCGCGAAGCTCCGTTTACGCCGGTTGTTAAACAACATCGTTATGGGGAAATGCAAGTCTGCGTCCAAATGGTTGGAAAATAAGGAGGAAGGACAATCAATACTGTATATAGTAAATGTGAGGTAAAGTGTGTCGCCAATGTAACCGGTTAAAACTCCAAGTGGAGATGAGGTCTTAAAATGTATGGAAAGGATCTTAAAAAAGGTCTTAAAAGGTATTACATTTGACTTCAGGATTCCTGCATATACCCTGTATGAACACCAGCTCAATGTGTTGTGCACAAACCTATATCTAATTTAAAGGGGACCTATCATGCAAAATGCACTTTTGTACGTCTTTTATACATGAATATGTGTCCCCGGTATTCCAGGGAACTCACCAAGTGTCAGAAAACACAACCCTCTCTATTTTCCTCCATACCCAAATCTCTAAAAAAGGGTCTGCAACGGATCTGATAAAAACTGATCCAGATTTGAACACTGTCCTGACGTCAGGACAGTGGCGCTACGGCTATTGGGCCAACTCCACCAATCAGGAGGAGACAGCCACGGCCATTGCCGTTTGAAAGCGCTGGAGACGCTGTAGTACATATGCCAGGCCTGTAGGTGGTGCTGTTCTCACTGAATCTGCCCTTGCAAAAACAGCTAACATTTTTCAAATTGAGGGAAATGAGGCATGGCTAAAATGCATGATCTGTTTGGTATTTTGAAAACAAAAAAGTATAAATATGCCTTATATAGGTATGGTCCTACACTATATTATTCAAATATAGCATGATAGGTCCACTTTAAGTTGAGGTATGTTTGGGTGAAAGGAGATGCATTGTGTCAATAAGTGAGCTTTAGAGATGTTAGTTGCATGTGTAATATGTGGACAGCCAGGCTGTAGTCTAATAATTCATACTTTCACTAAATAAATAGCACTAATCTTGCCCAAGAAGTCCTAAAATAGGTAAGTGTCTTGGACTCAATTCGATGTTTGAGCATTAATCTGCAGAAAAGTTAACAAATATATAAGAACAAATATTAAAATGGTGCCTACACAAAGTTTTAGCAGGAAGTGCATTTTGAGTTTAGTTTGATGCGTAATCTTTCATAACATCACAACATAAGTGCCACTATTGAATAAAATAGGCAAGTAAATCCAGGCTAGCAGTTTCCCCCTGCTTCCAGTCTTTATGCTAAGCTAAGCTAATTGCTTCCTGACTCCAGCTGAATCCCTAACGAACAAACATGAGTGACATTGATCTCATCTAACTGTCTGGTAGAAATCCAATAAGCGCATTTCTAAAAATGTTGAACTAAAACTTAATTTTTGATCCAACTTTTTTAATCTAATTGCTTTGACATTGCTAAAACCATATTGGCCACCAAGTACAAATCATTAAAGACGCCACCCAAGATGTTCAATCTAAGTTGTGTAACCGTTTTGGAGTCCAGAAATTGAAACACAAGATGATTATATGTTTTGTTTTGAAGATTTAGCTCACCTAACTTCACATGTTGCATTTTTCACTAACAGTTTAAGGCTCTTTAATCCATTAACTGACTTGTTGGTGATGTTAAATTGACTTTCCCTTCCTGTTTCATGCACTGGAATACAGTGAGCAGCCTTAATGCGATGTGGTACAGCAGTGAACAAATTACTCCGATTAAATTGGATTTCTAATACAAACTGCTGCAACATGAAGTCGTGTTCAATGGACTGAGAGCAGCAGAGAGCTAAAATCTCCTTGTTTTATGGCTTTTCTTCCACGGGGATCATGGGGGGGGGGAAATCCAATTTGCGCATTAATCTCATGTGTTCAGGGTCTCCAGATCAAAGATGGAGGAAATGCTGCGTGACAGTGGTGCGGAGACTTCAAAAAGCCCTCCAGAGATAATCCAATCGAAATGGACACGTCACCTTAAAGTGCTGCTTTGGGAGAATCAGCGCGTAATATTCCTCTGTCCTTTTTTTAAACCATCATTCCTGAGTTATTAGTTGGACAGAGGGATGGTTTGAATAAGGCTGTAAAATAACAAATGCGTCATGCTTTAGGGATCAGAAGTATTTGGCACCTGCGCGTGAGTTGGTTTTGGCAATGGGCTCTTTCAGTAAATCCGATGTTTTAGGTTTTAATGAGAAAACGATTATATAAGAGATTAGATAAATGAAGGGGCACAGATTGAAGTTAGGAAGCAGGATGTTCCCTCTGTCTAATTATTTATATCACTTGATGAATGGCATTTCCTGGAAAAAAGTAGGTAAGTATCGTTCAGTAAAACCGACGTTTTAGGCCTTAATAAGCAAAACGAAATATATAAGAAGTGAGATAAACATATGCCCATGATTTGGATGTATCTAAATTCATTATCAGTGCAGTTTATAGTCTAATTATTCATCATGTCACTAAATAAATGTCAACGTGACTTTGACTAAATTCGCTTTTTAGGCATTAATGAGCAGAAAAGTTACCAAATATTTAAGAAAAAAAGATAAACAAATGCCCATGAATAGTTTTAGGTTGCAGGAAGTTAATAATGACTTTAGGTTGATGTGTTCTTTTTCATAAATCACTCATAAATAAATGCCACTATTGTCCCCCTGAAGTGCTGAAGAAAATAGGCAAGTAAATGTCTGTAAATCAATCCGACGTTTTAGGCCTTAATGAGCAGGAAAGAGCCTTATTGAATGGCAACACGGTGTATTGAGGTGGCAGAAAGTTCTTTACGAGAATACTTTGGTCAGTCATACAATCACTTATGATTATAAATGGCACTATTGTGCCCAAAAGTCCTAAAAGATTTTAGGAAAGTAAATCCGAAGTTGCCCTGATTGAGCAAAAACGTTACTGAATATATAATAGGCCTAAATTAAGACAATTTAATGCACACAAATTGTATAGGAGGCATGACGTTTAATATAAGTTTGACGTGTAATTATTATAAGAACACAAAATAATGGCACTATTCTGCCATTGTGCGTAAAAGTGACATCACGAAATAAACTGTGCGTAAATGTAATCGTTCGGTACAAACACCCGGTTAATCTCTATAACCAGCTCCATTCTGTCTCCTGAAACACTACCTGAGCTGGTTTGTGGGGTTTTTTTCTTTCTTGTGACTGACATTGGCTGAGTGCTGGATGATCTCCCCCCTTTCTCTTTCTCTTTCTCCTCTCTTTCTCCCCCTCCCTGAACGCATCGGAGCAGTTTGAGTGGAGTAAAAGTGTCATCACGAAATAAACTGTGCGTAAAAGTCATATTTCGGTACTAATACCCGGTCAATCTCTACAACCATTCTGTCTCCTGAAACAGTGTCTAAGCTTTTGTGGTTTTGTTTCTTCTTGTGACTGGATGATCTCCCCCCCCTGTCTCTTCCTCCTCTCTTTCTCTGTCTCTCTCTCCTCTCTTCCTCCTCTCTTTCTCCCCTCTTTCTCCCCACCCTCCCTGACGCGCCGCTGCAGTTTAGAGAGCCCATCCTCCTCCTCGGGTCTGGACGCGGGCCAAAGCCTGTCTGCTGTCAAACCAGCCCGAACAGATACTCTCAGACATCTCGTTTCTTCACTTCATTCCTGAGACTCTGCCCACCCCCTGTGTAAAGCAATTTAAACCTGATAGCACATCATCATCATCATCATCATCATCATCATCATCATCATCATCAGCTCCCTCAGAAAATATTCGCTGGACTATTAAGACTCTCTCTCTGAGCTTCTCCCCCGTCAGAAGCGCTGCGCCACCGGGAACCATGGCGCATGTTTTTACGCACAAACCTCCATCCAACAACTCTCCTGTGATGACATATTTGTAATCCATGTCTGATTTTGGAGATTCAACGAGTTCTGTAATGTTTTTTCTTTTTCTTTTATCCGTGGAAATGCTTCGTCCAGATCCTTAAAGTTTGGTTAATATGAACTTATTGCCAAGTGGAATATGTTTTTATTTATCTGTAGCAATCTGCTGGCTGACGGCCGAGGTCGATGCGTCCTGGTGGTGAGTAGCATGTGCATACATTTTATTCTTCTTCTACTTCTTTATTTACCGCATTAGCCCACGCGCTGAATGCATGGCTTTCTGATTAACACGTTTTTACGCGATGCGCAAAATGGGCTCCAATCGGGTTAAACATTGTTTAAATTAATCTGTAGCCAGTAAAATGTGTGTGTGTGTGTGTGAAATGAAAGTATTGTTTGATAGTTTTAATATCCATATACAAGTCTTCATTGCCTCCAAAACGGTTTTATAACGACCTTTTATCCCTTTTCTTAATGAGAAATTAGCAGCGGATTTAGTTACTAATTCCCTTCAGGGTTTCCAAGACTGTATTTTTTTTAAATACTTGAATATTTGGACAGATTTGTTCCAGGAAAAGTCATTTGATATAATTTGCTGTCTTTCACTCTTTCTCAAAGGATCTCTTTCCAGAGTCCTTGCTTCTCACAGCCTGGGATACTGAGTCTGTTTTCTCAGATCATTTATTTTAATTCCTCTTTTCTCTTGCTTACTTCTTTGAGAGAAATCCCTGCAGCTGCAAGTCTTTCTTTCATCACCTTGTTCTGCAGGCACATGGGAGTGTGGACTTGTTAGGAGTGATTTCAACACAAGAAGACTCATTTTCTCATTTCATTATCTCTTTCTCATCTATTCTATTCCTACAGTATCTTCCCTGCAGCTACCTGGTGCTCAGGCAGACAGTCTGACATGACCTTTTGTAGTTCTTGTCTTAGTTATTAGTATTTACTTGTGAACAGTGAGGCATGCCAGGTTAACAGTAGGAGCACAGCAGCACATGTTCTGCCTGCTAAAATAACTCATGCAGCTTAAACAGAATTTATGTAGTGTTTTATTTTTGGCTTATTTTGATATGAAAAAGATTAGCTGTTTGTCATTTTATCTTTAATTGTTAATTCTCTTTATTCACTCTGTCTGTCTGTCTGTCTATCTATCTATCTATCTATCTGTCTGTCTGTCTGTCTGTCTGTCTGTCTGTCTGTCTGTCTGTCTGTCTGTCTATCTATCTATCTATCTATCTATCTATCTGTCTGTCTGTCTGTCTGTCTGTCTGTCTGTCTGTCTGTCTGTCTGTCTGTCTGTCTGTCTGTCTGTCTGTCTGTCTGTCTGTCTGTCTGTCTGTCTGTCTGTCTGTCTGTCTGTCTGTCTGTCTATCTATCTATCTGTCTGTCTGTCTGTCTGTCTGTCTGTCTGTCTGTCTGTCTGTCTATCTATCTATCTGTCTGTCTGTCTGTCTGTCTGTCTGTCTGTCTGTCTGTCTGTCTGTCTGTCTGTCTGTCTGTCTGTCTGTCTGTCTGTCTGTCTGTCTGTCTATCTATCCATCCATCCATCAAATGAAGTTTCTGCACACACACACTTCCCTCCCTTGATGAATGGTATCCCCCAGATGTTCACGTGTGTGTGTGTGTGTGTGTGTGTGTGTGTGTGTGTGTGTGTGTGTGTGTGTGTGTGTGTGTGTGTGTGTGTGTGTGTGTGTGTGTGTGTGTGTGTGTGTGTGTGTGTGTGTGTCTCTGCAGGTACATGGGCACCCTGGGGTCTCAGGTGATGTGCGACAACATCCCCGGCCTGGTGAACCGGCAGAGGCAGCTGTGCCGGCAGAACCCCCGCGTGATGCAGGCCATCGGGGCCGGCATGAAGGACTGGATCTCTGAGTGCCAGCACCAGTTCAGAAACCACCGCTGGAACTGCACCGCCACGGCCAGGGAGCAGCTGTTCGGACGCCTGCTGCTGAGGAGTGAGTGGGGGGGGGGGGGGGGGGTTTATCTTACTTTATGCTAAGGAAAGTCACTTTTTAAACTATTAGAGCAGCGGTGAATCCAGTAGAACAGACCGCTGTCAAGGACTGTAATGACCGTTGCTAAGGACTGTAATGACCGTTGCTAAGGAGGATCAAGAAAGAGAAAGTTATCTTACTTTATTCTAAGGAAAGTCACTTTTTAAAGGTCCCCTATTATACTGTTTTTCATCAATATGTTATAGGTCTCAGATATATACAAACATGTCTCTGAAGTGTTTGGCTCCAAACACCAAACAGTTCATTGCAGCATCCCATAATCCCCTCTGTTTCAGCCCTGTTTCAAAAGTGCTGATTCTCTGTCTGTTACTTTAGATGAAAATAAGGAGCCCCTCCCCACGCCCCTCTGAGAGAGATTTGGTTAAAAAGAAGTCAATGGTGCTCTAGGAGGAGATTCAGGTGATAAGGTGGGGGGGGGGGGTTACCTTGGTTGCTGATTGGCTAATGGTTACTCAAGACAAAACATCGTTATGACATCATAAAGTGGCCAAAATCTGATCAGCTCATTGTCAGACAGGTTTTTATATAAATGGATCAGGACAAAAAGAGAATGAATCTTTGTTCCTGAAACTTTCAGAGTCTCTTTCCACAGGGGGGGGGGGGGGGGGGGGGGGGGGGGGACACACACACACACTCTAAGAATAGAAAGTGAGTTTTAGGGTTGTGTGCAACAGTATCTTCTGGGTTGTGTTTCCCGGTCATTGTGATCTGCAGGATGACGCTAACATGTTGCTTTAACTGAACGCTGACAAATCCAAACTATCTGTGGGTTTTCAAAGTGTTGATTTACGGCGACACTGAGACCCTCGCAGATATGCTTTTTTTTTTTACAGAGGTTGGATCGCATTCCACACATCGTCTCACTTTACAATTTGACATTTATCACGTCTGACAGTCTGCTCCTCTGCAGCTAAGATGCTCCTCTGAACTGTGTGGTGGTTATATGAGGACTGTGTGCAGATGTAGTGCTGGAAAGAAATGTCAATGTGCAAAAAAGTCATTTATCATATCAAATACTGGAGGAAATATTTCGAAAACACTTGGGAGGTTCCTGGTGTTTTGATGGTTCTTGGTTATTTGTATTTAATATCTCTGGATTTAAGAATTGTTGGACATATTGAAGCAATTTCACAATTAGAGCTCAGAGTTTCAGACACTTTTCTGACATCCTACAGATGAAAATCCACAGTTTTCTTGCGTTAATGTCAATAACTAGTTGCAGGTTTGTATATTTCAGTATCAGTATTCAGTGGTATCTTAATTTATACAAGAAAGCTGATATTTGTATCTGTTTGATTCAGTTTCATTATAATGATGTTAAAGCGGCCACAGTCACTGTTAGATCATTCAAGAAAATGTAGGAAGAGGTAAAGAAGATGTATTGAACTGTTCAGCAGCGACGCAGTCAATATATTTTGGCTATGTTTTGGGTTTATTATAAAATGAATGTTCTAAAGCGTGTGGCACAGGTCTCCTCTCCGGCGGTCATGAGTTATCAGCTCCGGGGATATCATATAAATGATTATTGAGCATTAAGCAGAGACAGATGAGAGCGCTGCTGTCTCAGGTGTCTCAGCTGAAGTGAGTCCTGCAGGACGTCCAGAGGTGGGAAGTAGTGGAGTTCAAATACTTTGTTACTGTACTTAAGTACATGTTTCTGGTATCAGTACTTTACTCCACTACTTATTTTTCTGACGACTTTTTACTTTCTACTTCTTATATTTTGAACACAAATACCTGAACTTTCTACTTCTTACATTTTGAACACAAATACCTGTACTTTCTACTTCTTACATTTTGAACACAAATACCTGTACTTTCTACTTCTTACATGTTGAACACAAATACCTGTACTTTCTACTTCTTACATTGTTGAACACAAATACCTGTACTTTCTACTTCTTACATGTTGAACACAAATACCTGTACTTTCTACTTCTTACATGTTGAACACAAATACCTGTACTTTCTACTTCTTACATGTTGAACACAAATACCTGTACTTTCTACTTCTTACATGTTGAACACAAATACCTGTACTTTCTACTTCTTACATTTTGAACACAAATACCTGTACTTTCTACTTCTTACATGTTGAACACAAATACCTGTACTTTCTACTTCTTACATGTTGAACACAAATACCTGTACTTTCTACTTCTTACATGTTGAACACAAATACCTGTACTTTCTACTTCTTACATGTTGAACTCAAATACCTGTACTTTCTACTTCTTACATGTTGAACACAAACACCTGTACTTTCTACTTCTTACATGTTGAACACAAACACCTGTACTTTCTACTTCTTACATGTTGAACACAAACACCTGTACTTTCTACTTCTTACATGTTGAACACAAATACCTGTACTTTCTACTTCTTATATTTTGAACTCAAATACCTGTACTTTCTACTTCTTATATTTTGAACTAAAATACCTGTACTTTCTACTTCTTATATTTTGAACTAAAATACCTGAACTTTCTACTTCTTATATTTTGAACACAAATACCTGTACTTTCTACTTCTTACATGTTGAACACAAACACCTGTACTTTCTACTTCTTACATGTTGAACACAAATACCTGTACTTTCTACTTCTTATATTTTGAACTAAAATACCTGAACTTTCTACTTCTTATATTTTGAACACAAATACCTGTACTTTCTACTTCTTATATTTTGAACTAAAATACCTGAACTTTCTACTTCTTATATTTTGAACTAAAATACCTGAACTTTCTACTTCTTATATTTTGAACACAAATACCTGTACTTTCTACTTCTTACATGTTGAACACAAATACCTGTACTTTCTACTTCTTACATTTTGAACACAAATACCTGTACTTTCTACTTCTTATATTTTGAACTAAAATACCTGAACTTTCTACTTCTTATATTTTGAACACAAATACCTGTACTTTCTACTTCTTACATTTTGAACTAAAATACCTGAACTTTCTACTTCTTACATTTTGAACACAAATACCTGAACTTTCTACTTCTTATATTTTGAACTAAAATACCTGAACTTTCTACTTCTTACATTTTGAACACAAACACCTGTACTTTCTACTTCTTACATGTTGAACACAAACACCTGTACTTTCTACTTCTTACATGTTGAACACAAACACCTGTACTTTCTACTTCTTACATGTTGAACACAAATACCTGTACTTTCTACTTCTTATATTTTGAACTCAAATACCTGTACTTTCTACTTCTTATATTTTGAACTAAAATACCTGTACTTTCTACTTCTTATATTTTGAACTAAAATACCTGAACTTTCTACTTCTTATATTTTGAACACAAATACCTGTACTTTCTACTTCTTACATGTTGAACACAAACACCTGTACTTTCTACTTCTTACATGTTGAACACAAATACCTGTACTTTCTACTTCTTATATTTTGAACTAAAATACCTGAACTTTCTACTTCTTATATTTTGAACACAAATACCTGTACTTTCTACTTCTTATATTTTGAACTAAAATACCTGAACTTTCTACTTCTTATATTTTGAACTAAAATACCTGAACTTTCTACTTCTTATATTTGAACACAAATACCTGTACTTTCTACTTCTTACATGTTGAACACAAATACCTGTACTTTCTACTTCTTACATTTTGAACACAAATACCTGTACTTTCTACTTCTTATATTTTGAACTAAAATACCTGAACTTTCTACTTCTTATATTTTGAACACAAATACCTGTACTTTCTACTTCTTACATTTTGAACTAAAATACCTGAACTTTCTACTTCTTACATTTTGAACACAAATACCTGAACTTTCTACTTCTTATATTTTGAACTAAAATACCTGAACTTTCTACTTCTTACATGTTGAACACAAATACCTGAACTTTCTACTTCTTACATTTTGAACACAAACACCTGTACTTTCTACTTCTTACATGTTGAACCCAAATACCTGTACTTTCTACTTCTTACATGTTGAACCCAAATACCTGTACTTTCTACTTCTTACATTTTGAACACAAATACCTGTACTTTCTACTTCTTACATTTCCCAAACAGGCTGGTTCCTTTAGTTTGAATGTGTGTTTGGTGGCGTGATCATTATTATTTAGAGTCATTGCGTGCCTATTGATTTGAACACGATCCGTGTATCCATCATTTCCTGGTCTTCTCTAAAGAAGAGGGACCAATGAAAACGTTGTCATGTTGCCGTTGTTCAGCATGGAAACATTCATTAGCTAACAATGACATTATTGTTCTATTAATATAAAGGGAGGTCAGGTACTCTTTAAAACAGCTGGGAGTTATGGGTACTTTTTACTTAAGTACATTTCAAAGCCCTCTTTACTTTTACTTGAGTAAAGAAGTTTAGTCAGTACTTCTACTTTTACCAGAGTATTTTTAAACACAAGTATCTGTACTTCTACTTGATGAAAGGATGTGTGTACTTTTGCCGTCTCTGAGGACGTGTCCTAACGAGTCCTGATCTCTTTTATTGCCGGTGGAGGGTGATTGGGACCCCTGATGTTCCTCTCCCATGCCCCCAGGTTTAACCCTCCGGAGGATCCTTCGACTTAGTCCGTTTCATGTGGGCGCCTCTAATCAGCCGTGTGGTATTCGGCCCTCCCTGGGGGGCCGGCCCGTCACAGAGCATTATCGCGTCAGAAAGCTCCTGATTGTCAAAGTCAGCCGGCTAATTTCAAACAATTACACTGAAGCATTATCATCTAACCCCCCCCCCCCCCCCCCCTCTCTGTGTGGTGTCGTGTTCTCTCAGCGTTCTCCTCATTAACCTCGTTAGGCACGCTCAACTGAGACCTGTGTGTGTGTGTGTGTGTGTGTGTGTGTGTGTGTGTGTGTGTGTGTGTGTGTGTGTGTGTGTGTGTGTGTGTGTGTGTGTGTGTGTGTGTGTGTGTGTGTGTGTGTGTGTGTGTGTGGTATTAGTGCTGCGTGTCAATACAGATACTTCAAACCTACTTTTTGAATATCTTACTTTGAGAAACATCGTTTTCTACAAAAGCTTTTTTAGTTTTAACACAAGTTCTTGACATAAATCAAATATTCTATTAATACTGGATGAATTATTATTATTAGATCATTTGGATAGTTAAGCTTTGGACTCCTCTCCTCTGTCTACTCAAAAACCTGTCTGAAAATGAGCTGATCAGATTTTGGCCACTTTATGATGTCATAACGATGTTTTGTCTTGTGTAACCATTAGCCAATCACCAACCAAGGTAAACCCCCCCCCGCCCCCACCTTATCACCTGAATCTCCTCCTAGAGCACCATTGTGTTCTTTTTAACCAAATATCTCTCAGAGGGGCGTGGGGAGGGGCTCCTTATTTTCATCTAAAGTAACAGACAGAGAATCAGCACTTTGGAAACAGGGCTGAAACAGAGGGGATTCTGGGATGCTGCAATGATCTGTTTGGTGTTTCAGCCAATCAGAGACAGGTTCTGGATATATCTGAGACCTGTAATATATTGATGAAAAACAGAATATTAGGAGACCTTTAAGATGAATCTAGAAAGACTGACCTTTTGTCCCACATTTGCTTCCTTGTTTCCTCCCCTCCCCCCCCCCCTCAGGTAGTCGAGAGGTGGCCTTCATGTACGCTATCTCCTCAGCGGGGGTGGTCTACACGCTGGCTCGGGCCTGCTCTCAGGGGGACTTGGACTCCTGCTCCTGCGACCCCACCAAGACGGGCTCGTCCCGGGACGCCCGAGGGTCCTTCGACTGGGGGGGGTGCAGCGACCACGTGGAGCACGCCGTGCGCTTCAGCCAGGGCTTCGTGGACGCCAAGGAGAGGAAGCAGAGGGACGGGCGGGCGCTGATGAACCTGCACAACAACCGGGCCGGCAGGAAGGTACACGATTTGTTTCTACTTGAGATGTGTGTGTTCTGTTCTCATGTTTGTTCCTTTCAGGACTCCACGTGGTCTGAGTTTTGTTTTTATGTTAACCTTACATCTCTGCCTCCTGTTGTTATGTTATCCTTCATTGAAATGTCTGTAACTGTGCTGTTACCATTCTCTTGAAAAATAGATTTGTAATCTCAATGCGACCTATCCTGGTTCAATAAAGGTAATAAACAAAAATCAAAATGATACTCTCCTGTGTAGGCGGTGCGGCGCTTCATGTCTCTGGAGTGTAAATGTCACGGGGTCAGCGGCTCCTGCAGCGTTCGGACCTGCTGGCTGGCGATGGCCGACTTCAGGCTGACCGGAGATCACCTGAAGAAGAGGTACAGAGGCGCCGTGCAGGTGAACGTCAACCAGGACGGCACCGGCTTCACACACACACACACACACTTCAAGAGGCCCAGCAAGAACGACCTGGTGTACTTCGAGGACTCGCCGGACTACTGCGTACGAGACCACGAGTCAGGTACTCATCTGTAGAGACTATGATCATAATAATAATAATAAAGATGTATTTGTGTAGCACTTTTCATACAGCAGCTGCAGCTCAACATGCTTTAGCAACAAGGAAGAGATCAGAAGAAACAAGAAACAGGACATCACATCAGACGCTAAAACCTTAGATAGATATATATATATATATATAAACACAGCAGGGGATCAGAATCCAAATGTCATTCTGTTTTACAAAGAGGTGAGCATGTGGACGAGAGGCTACAACATGCAGAAGAAAGTATCAGATATCTGGGAGAGAGAAATGTGTGTTTATGTAAGAGCCTGTGAACAGGACAGTGAGCTTAGGGAGGAACATGTTTGTGTATGAAAAGAGAGTGAGAGGTGTGTGTGTGTGTGTGTGTGTGTGTGTGTGTGTGTGTGTGTGTGTGTGTGTGTGTGTGTGTGTGTGTGTGTGTGTGTGTGTGTGTGTGTGTGTGTGTGTGTGTGTGTGTGTGTGTGTGTGTCTGACAGGCAGCAGATGATCCGTGGCGATCGGGTGTCGGCCGCTTTAAGAGACATTACACACTCCTGCAGGCTGAAACCTTAGAGCGCCACAGATCACTATAAATCACCTCCACTGGACACACACACACACACACACACACACACACACACACACACACACACACACACACACACACACACACACACACACACACACACACACACACACACACACACACACACACACACACACACACACACACACACACACACACACACACACACACACACACACACACACACATTTGGGGGGCAGGTTGGATCACACAACACTTTACAATACCATGGTTTACAGTGTGTTTTGTGTCGAAGGCAGACGCTTCAGCCCAAAGTAGTATACTCTTAGTATTTCACATTTAATTGAATTTTAGAAAGACGGGACATCTCTGATCTCATGGATAAGCGTTTAAAAAGCAGGCTCCTTTAAGGACATTCAGCTCGTCCTGATATCTTTCACACTACGGACACATGATGGTAGATTCAATCATGTGGTTAGCATTGGGAATAAGAGCTGCACGATATATCGTTTCAGCATCTAAGTTGCAATGTTAGCACGTGCAAAAGTCCCATTGCAGGATTTAAAATGTAAAGCAACATGAACAGAGATACTCAGAGTTGTTGCTTTAGGAACTGCAGGAACAAGAACCTGAAAACCAGCACTAAAATAACTAAAACAATTTGTTTGCAAGAAGAATCAATATTTACCAAGAGTGTGCAAAAAAAAAGTTTGGTAAGAGTTGAGAAAAAGGTCATTATTTGCTTTAAAATTCAAAGTGATTTTGTCAATATGTCAACTGTTGACTGTTGGTTTTACACAGGATGCAAGTCAAGGGTTTATTTTTAAATGACTCAATAAATGGGCATGTTATCCGTTCATACTTTTTGACTCACCAATTGATCATCACATGTGGCCCACGGCCCGTCCACACGGCGGCGTGCGTTGAAGCTTCAACGCTTCTTCCCATTCACTTTGAATGGGGTGACGTCACGCTTTGCCGAACTGCATTGTGGTCTCGTCGCTTCGCTTTGCTCGCTTCAAAAGTTGAGAAAAGTTCAACTTTTCAAGCTTCGACGGAAGCGCCAGCCAATCAAATCATATGCCAGTACAAGCTCTAGCCAATCAAACCGCATGCTTGTGTGTCCGGGGCGGGAGATTAATGTGATTGGTTGTTGGTCGAGTTTCAGACACGCCCACCGGCAAGCTTCAACGCATGCTGCCGTGTTGACGCTGCGTTCATTTCTCCTTTTACAAATCTGCTTGGAAATGCAGTTGAAAGTGCAGGTTGCTAAGTGAACGATGCATTCATGTGCACATTGTCTCATGTTTTTGTTCACGCTGCCCCCTGTTTTTAATATTGATGTGATGGTGGAACACTTTGTTGAATGATGGAGCTGCAGCGTTTGCACGTAGGCTGTATTTCACTCTGAAGGAAGCGTTGGGTGTCTCAGCAAATCAAAGCTGGGATCTGTCTGTCACGGGACGGTGTCATGTACTCCGAGTTATCAGAAACCGTCATGGTGCCTTCAGGTGCTTTCAGGAGAGTTGTATGACCTCCAACAGTCTAACTTTAACCTGCTGTTTCTGAAGCATGGCTTTCATTAAAGTGGAGATAAAAGCTGTGAGAGAGTCGTACAGTCCACGAGTCTGGAAGTTCATTCTTGATCTTTGGGAACTTCTGACTCTCTCCCACTGTCTGCTCCAGCTCCTGAGCGTTCAGGTACAGACAGGAAGTATGAGTAGGAAGTGTGTTAAAACAATGCTGTAAAGGTCCCTTGCTTAAATCTAAAAAGGCACAAACAACTTACAAAGATAGGTGTGGTAAACCATTAGGGTTACACACACACACACACACACACACACACACACACACACACACACACACCCTAAAGTCAGGTCTATCTGCTGGAGAATAATTGAAGTTGTTTAATTTCTTACTCTAATGTAAAGGGTTAGCCGATTACTTTCCATATCAATGAATCAGTTGATCGTTGTCTCGATATCAAACAAGAAGAAGCCGGAGATTTGAGAGTCTGATTCAGCTTTTTGGCATGAAGAAATACTGTAACGGTTTATTGTTTATCAAACTAGTTGGCTATTATGTTTTTAGGTGTAACCTGGTGGATCTGGAGGAGAAAATGGGTTTGGAAATCGACAGAAAATGAATCAACATTCCCTAGTCTTGATTTTTTGCTTTTCTGTGTTAAAACAATTTCATTATCTACATATCTTTTATTTTAAAGAGTCTTGATTGTGCTTTTTGGGGTTAACCCTTTCCTGTAGTTTGTTATATAGGTTTGTGTGCACGTAAATGGTCTGCAAATCCCAATGTTCTGGACCATAATGACATCACTATGTAACACTCGTGCCCCTATTGGCTAGCGCTCCAACACATTGTACGTGATAGGCTAAGGGGCGGGACATCTCTAAGCGGTTGACCAATCACAACAGAGCCGGCCAGCTAACCAATCAGAGCAGACTGGGCTCTGGTTTCAGACAGAGGGCGAAAAGAGGTGCCACAGCACAGGCAGTATGAGAAAAATAAAGAGCTGTTTGAACATTAAAGCATGGAGACATGTCCCAGGAGAGCAGGGGTGGGAAAACATTTTGGCTCGGGGGCCACTATGAGTTTTAAAATGTAACAGACGGGCCGGGCCAGTAGCAGATCGGTGAAAAAATATTTAGCTGTCCACTCCTCATTAAACACTCGGCACTCATTGTCGACTTTTCTTTTCTTTGGTCCATTCATTGTTACAGATGCAGGTTCAATGGTGAATTAGGTTCAAAGGTGAGTTATTGCGTCATCGTTTGCGTCATGACGTAACCGTTTACGTGCCTTCTTATGACAACACGCCGTTTTACGTCGCTGATTTTCTCCGCAACACCGCTCACAACAACATCAATAGAGGACTGCGTCGGGTCGTTTTTAATCATACGAAGCCAGAACTACTTCTCCAACCTTATACCTTTCTCCAGAGTGCCGTGGTGCATTGTTTATTAATGTGGTTCAGCGGCATTACCGCCCGCTGCAGTGCTGCTCGTTTATTCTTCCGTTAACTCGCGGCAGCGGCCGCTGTAAAGTATTCACTCTCCGACTGTCACACAAGCAGCTGATAAATATCCCCCATCCCCATAAGTGAATGTTTTTCAGTCTGAATTGACGCTGTTTGGCATCACAACGCTGTTATGAAAGTTTCTCTGGCATTCTACAGGTGATGTTAGCATAGCAACCGAAGCTAATCAGACTATCTCGTATCATATTGTGGCATAAACCGTTTTCTACACAAAATAAACAGAATCACACTAAGCTGGTTAGTGTTGCCTGACTTTATATAAGTGTTTTTTATAAGTGTGTGGTCACGTTCTAGTCACTTTTATCAGCGCTACTCAGTTACAACTTGTATTCGCTGTACTGTACTAACCGTGAACTGTTATTGCTCAGGTTAATCTTGACCCCCTCAAATGTAAGCGTGACGTTCTTAGTTCTTAGATCTTGCCGGGTTGCCGACTCCAGCAAAGGTCATTTGTGCTAGAGTGCGCCATCTAGTGGGATCAACTGAAATGCCGGGTATTGCAGGAAAAAGGTAAAATGAATGCGGTCTTTACTATCATTTGGACAATGTTGTACCAATATTCGACGGGCCGGTTTAAAAAGCCCAACGGGCCGTATATGGCCCGCGGGCCTTAGTTTGCCCATGCCTGCAGTAGAGACACTACATACTGATATACACCTGAACATCAGCAGGAGAGGACTCTTTAAAGTAGAGACACTACATACTGATATGAACCTGAACATCAGCAGGAGAGGACTCTTTAAAGTAGAGACACTACATACTGATATACACCTGAACATCAGCAGGAGAGGACTCTTTAAAGTAGAGACACTACATACTGATATACACCTGAACATCAGCAGGAGAGGACTCTTTAAAGTAGAGACACTACATACTGATATACACCTGAACATCAGCAGGAGAGGACTCTTTAAAGTAGAGACACTACATACTGATATACACCTGAACATCAGCAGGAGAGGACTCTTTAAAGTAGAGACACTACATACTGATATACACCTGAACATCAGCAGGAGAGGACTCTTTAAAGTAGAGACACTACATACTGATATACACCTGAACATCAGCAGGAGAGGACTCTTTAAAGTAGAGACACTACATACTGATATACACCTGAACATCAGCATGAGAGGACTCTTTAAAGTAGAGACACTACATACTGATATACACCTGAACATCAGCAGGAGAGGACTCTTTAAAGTAGAGACACTACATACTGATATACACCTGAACATCAGCAGGAGAGGACTCTTTAAAGTAGAGACACTACATACTGATATACACCTGAACATCAGCAGGAGAGAACTCTTTAAAGTAGAGACACTACATACTGATATACACCTGCACATCAGCAGGATAGAACTCTTTAAAGTAGAGACACTACATACTGATATACACCTGAACATCAGCAGGAGAGGACTCTTTAAAGTAGAGACACTACATACAGATATACACCTGAACATCAGCAGGAGAGGACTCTTTAAAGTAGAGACACTACATACAGATATACACCTGAACATCAGCAGGAGAGGACTCTTTAAAGTAGAGACACTACATGCTGATATACATGTTTAAAACGGCGAAAAACGTGAGTGTTACTGTCAGACTGCAGCAGCACGAGTGTTACTGAAAAGGAACGTGTGTGTGTGTGTGTGTGTGTGTGTGTGTGTGTGTGTGTGTTCAGCTCCTCCTGTATAAATAACGTTTTTGTTTCTGCTTCAAGTACCATCTCGAACACTGTTCTGGAATTTGCTCGTGTTTACATTCTGCCTCGCTGTGTGTGTGTGTGTGTGTATGTGTGTGTGTGTATGTGTGTGTGTGTGTACTATCTCTGCAGCCTTCACCAGGTAGTATGTCTGGGCATGACCCGCCCCTCTTCCCCTCCTCTCTCCTGTGATTGGCCGCCCTGCTCAATGACATCACGGCGCTGTGCTGCGTCTGCTTATTGAATTAAGATGAGTGGGTGCAGAGAGATGAGTTAAACACCTGAGCCTCGCCTCGCCGGGGGAATTGATTTCACACTTTAGAGGGGCAGAGGGGCCGTCTCACTATCTGTGTGTGTGTGTGTGTGTTTGAGAGAGTGGATGTGTGTGTCTGTGAGAATAGATCCAGTCTGTGTTATTCAGAATGATTGAGGGAGAGTTTGCATGTCTTTGAGAGGTGTGTGTGTGTGTGTGTGTGCGTCTCCAGTGAAATGAACAGTTGATGAAGAGTGTGAGTGCAGACTGACGGCCCCTATCATCAATCTCTCATCTGTCCTCCGTCCAGCATTCATCATCTTACACACACACACTAATTATACTGCGTTCCCATTGGCTCTTATCAACCAATAAAACTCTTCTGATTGGCTCTGCACCACTTCCTCATTCCTGTCTGCAGAAAGAGGAACATTTCTGTCTTAAATCCTGAGTAACTTCCTAAGATGCTTCTCTCTTTCAGTCTTTCAGTCTCTCTCTGTGTGTGTGTGTGTGTGTGTGTGTGTGTGTGTGTGTGTGTGTGTGTATGTGTGTGTGTGTGTGTTGAAGGCTTTCACTATTAAATCTCATTTTGGAAGTAAAACCACTGAAATGTGTTTTTACATTCAGTGAATAAATCTGATTTGTGTTCAGTGGAGACGAGCAGAGGGAAATGAACTTTACATTAAAACATTACGGACACGGACACTGACTCGGTCTCGGACACGGACTCTCACTCGGACACTGACACGGACACTGACTCGGTCTCGGACACGGACTCTCACTCGGACTCTCACTCGGACACTGACTCGGACTCTGACACGGACACTGACTCGGTCTCGGACACGGACTCTCACTCGGACACACAGACTCGGACTCTGACACGGACACGGACTCGGACACGGACTCTCACTCTCACTCGGACACTGACTCGGTCTCTGACTCTCACTCGGACTCTCACTCTCTTTTTTAAAAATCTCTCCCTCTCTCCCCAGGCTGGATGGGTACGGGGGGGCGTCAGTGTAACCGGACGTCCCGTGGCGCTGACGGCTGCGAGGTGCTGTGCTGCGGCCGCGGATACGACACGTCGAGGGTCAGCCGCACCACGCAGTGCGAGTGCAAGTTCCACTGGTGCTGCGCCGTGATCTGTAGAGACTGTGAGGAGACCATCGACCTGAACACCTGCAAGGGACACACGTGACTCGCTGAACTCTCATTGGTCCAGAGGAAACACCTGCAAGGGACACACGTGACCCGCTGAACTCTCATTGGCCCAGAGGAAACACCTGCAAGGGACACACACGTGACCCGCTGAACTGTTATTGGTCCAGAGAGGAAACACCTGCAAGGAACACATGTGACCCGCTGAACTCTCATTGGTCCAGAGGAAACACCTGCAAGGGACACACGTGACCCGCTGAACTCTCATTGGTCCAGAGGAAACACCTGCAAGGGACCAGGAAACACTCTTTAATCCAGAAGAACCACACCGAACTATCACTGACCCAGAGGAAACACTGTGGAAAAACACTGATCCTGTCCAAGGGTGCAGGAGAGAGAGAGAGAGAGAGAGAGAGACACACACACACACACACACACACACACACACACACACACACACACACACACACACACACACACACACACACACACACACACACACACACACACACACACACACACACACACACACACACACACACACACACACACACACACACACACACACACACACACACACACTTGTAGACACTGATATCAGAAATACACATTACAACTAGTTACAATTCAATTTTTGATATCAGAAATAAACATTCTTAGTAAGAATAGATTTTTTGATATCCTCCAGAAATGAATAAACGCTAAATCGGCTTGCCATACAAAGGTGTTTCTTTAAATCAATTTAGAGCAGGGGTGTCAAACTCAAGGCCCGGGGGCCAAATCCGGCCCGCGGCTTCATTTTTTATGTCCCGCAAGAGCTTGCAAAGAATATAATACGTTCATTATACGGTTACATGCCACTTTACAGAAGCAGGTTGCCCATAAACCACATGTCCCACAATGCATCTCATTTTGTGAGATGCGCACTGAAGAGACTTGCAATTATTTGCCCTGGACTTCTGCTTGTAGACGTAGTTAATTACGAAGTTATTACCCTATCCGATAATAATCCAATTCAGAGGCAATAATGTCATATAATACATTATTTTATATATGTATATTTATATAGTTACAACCGGCCCTTTGAGAGCAACCATAACGCTAATGTGGCCCACGATGAAATTGAGTTGGACACCCCTTGTAATAAAACACAGGAGAAAAAGCTTTTTAGATTTGATAAAACACTAATGTTAGTCACAGTTGTAACTCGTTTTATCCTGAGTTTTGTTTGTTTATAAAAGTTTTACATTAGATTGAACACTTCTAAGAGATGCTTGACTTCATTAGATGAATGTCTGACAGCACAGAAGCTCCTAAACATAAGTTACTAATTAGCTGCAGGCGGCAAAGTGTTCAAAGCTCTTGCCTTTAATTCTCCTCTTGTTAATAGTTTCTGTGAAAAGCCTCAGAGTAATGATCACAGTTGAAGGACTACAAGCTGACTAAGTGACATAAACACACGGTTAGATAATATTCAGTTCGTGTAAACACACTCAGAGTCACGGTTAGTCACAGCTGCTGAGTGTAAGACACACGCTCTGGTTAATAAAGGTCAATATAAACACCAGATAATCACCGTGAAACCTGCTGATATCTGACATCCTGACGTATTAATCTTACATTGTTTTAAATGTTATTTCACCACGTGGTTACCCGTGTAGCTGCCATTTTATTACACACTGCATCCCAATTGAAATGCAAAAAAACTCAACATGTTTGTTATTCTGCTTTACCGGTCCGTTTTGTGTTTGTTTGCTTATGTAAATATGTGGTTGTGTAAATTAAGATCAGATGTATAGCGTATGGAAACATTATCTGTAACCAATAGGCACGTTTTAAACAATCAACACAGGTCACTTCCTCCTGCCGATAAGAAACGAGGCCACACTGCTTCCTGTTATTCTCAGATCTCCGCAAATAAATCGGTAATAAAATGTTAATAAAGCTCCTTTTAAAATGTTTTGTTGTTCAATCTGTGCTCTTTACCTGCAGATGAAGATCCACACGTTTCCTGTTGACCCAATAAAGTCTTAAAAAGGCATTGAATTCATTCATTAATCTTATAAATAAAGCTATATTGGTATTTAAATTGTCTTAAAGGTCACCTATCATGCTATTTTTAGGCAATAGCATAGGTCTCAGATATATAAAAATATATAAAAAACATGTCTATGAAGTGTTTTGCTCAAAATACCAAACAGATCACCCATTCTAGCCATGCCTCATATCCCTCTATTTCACTTCCTGTTTCAAAAGGGCTGAATTTGGGTATAAAGCTTGATTTAAAAAAAAAAGGAGGGGTCTGAGCTCATGCGGGACCCGGCAGCTACTGTCTAAACTAAATACTGCCGTGATGAAACACCATATCATGGATTATCAAGGATTATTTCTGAAACAGTATGGAGCTCAAAGGCTTTCTCTCTTGCCGGTTATACCACAAGGTGAGTTCCTTTTTATTTCCTGCTTCTTCACACACGCTCTCCAGTACAGGTTAGCTCTGAGTGTTAGCGATGCTAATGTAAACACCGACCATATTACGTCCAAAACAGTCAGGCATTGTTTCCGATAGCAACGTTTCTGATAGGGCTGTGGGTCCACATTTCAGATATTACGTCATATCGGACGCAAATCTGGATCAGCTCCGTTGTAGCCCCGTTTTTAGAGATTTGGGTACGGAGGAAAAGAGAGAGGGTTTTATTTTCTGACGCTGCGTGAGTTCCCTGACACACCGGGGACACATGTTTATGTACAAAAGACATCAGAAAGTGCATTTTGCATGATAGGTCCCCTTTAAATTGAGATGTTCCGCCCTTAGCTTCACTTCAAAGGTACCTGAACGACCTGCAGGTGATAGTCTTGTACTTCCTGTCGAGCGAGATGTTAGTTTGTGGGGAAAACATGCCAAATATCCCACATTTAGACATTAAAAACCTACCTGTGTCCTGTATGACCTCTTCTCTCAGCAGGAGGAAGTGAATCTGCGGGAATCAACATGTGGAAGAAGCCGGCGTGCAGCGATACACAAAAAGTCTTTTATTGTATTTTTTTGTCTTTTCACTTTTTTTTTTAATGATGGCAATTGATCACCTGTTTTTGTACAACAAAAGAACAGCTTTTTAAATGATTTGAAAACCCAAAGAAAATGCAAACATATCAAATAAAGTCAAAACCAGTTTGTGGATTTCATCGCTTCTGCGTTTGGTTTTTCCTGCGTTCTCAGTCTGCTTTGAACGCTCCTCTTGGCACTAAAGTCCTAAAGTCAGTCCCTACAGCGCAGCGTTCAGGGGCAGTCCGGCTGTTTCTGTTTGTAGGGGGGGGGGGGTCCTGGTTCTGGTTCTGGTCCTGGTTCTGGTCCTGGGGGGGGTCAGGTGGGGGGGGGTCAGATGCGGGTGAGTTGGTGCCAGAGGCTGGACGGCAGGATGCTCTCCACCTTCTCCATGATGAAGTTCAGAGGAGCAAACAGCGTGCTGAGGAACTGAGGGAGAGAGGACACACACTTTAATTTAATGCATCAACAGGAGATCTAGAGAGGGGTGCAGGAATGAGTCCTTAAACCTGGAAATGAGTCAGCATTTTACCCCTTCCTGTTCTCAAAATCAATGTTTAAAAAATGTTTTTTTGGTTAGATGCCTGAAATAAGGTCTGTGGTTAACACAACAAACACGTATTATTCTACGACATAAAATAAGTCAGTGAAAACACACTGTTCATTGTCTAAAGCACACATGTGTCAAACTCAAGGCCCGGGGGCCAAATCAGGCCCTTGGTGGATTTAATTTCGGCCCGCAGGATAATTTCTAATTACTATTAGATCTGGCCCGCTGGTATATTGCACCTTCACTCCATCCTGAGGGTCTCCTCAGCTCAGAGCCTGACCCCAAACATTGATGAACTTGCACCCAAGATGAGATGCCAAGTATCTGGCTTGAACTAGCATCACAGAGCAGCACACTGAGTTTACATGGATGTTTCCTTCTGCACTTTTTCTCTCACGACAACAGGGCATGTTTGGTTTGTTCTTTGAGGGGAATAGTTTTTTTGAAGCTGTTGTTGGCCTGTGGAAAAATGTAATCATAAGAAATGACTCTGGAAAAGCTGCAGATCGAGCCATAAGAAATGAATGCAACTGATTATTTAATGTTTAATGTTGTTTTTATAGGCAATCATTTAAGCGTTGTTAGTTCCAGGTTTAATATGTGCAATAAGTTCATTTCAATAAGTTCTGCAATAAACATTGAACCAGTCCGGCCCTCGACTAGTACCCATTTTTTTATTTTGGCCCACTGTGTATTTGAGTTTGACACACCTGCTCTAAAGCTTGTGTGTGTCTTAAAAAAGACGGTTGCTAACAAGTGTCTAAATGAAACTTCTACGCAATCAGCCGCCTTTAGCTTGGTGACGTGAAGTCATGTGACCGTGCTGCAGTTCCTTTATAGCCTAACGTTAGCTTTTAACTTCAGAAATCATTAAGTGGTGTTAACATGGGGAGACTATCCTGCTGAACACATCATAAAACGTGTCAGTATCTTAAACGTGTGTTCACCACAGAGATTATAATATGCAATTCAATGAAGAAATCCCATTGCTGAGAGAAGCAGTGAGCTGCTAACCTCCAGGTCAGCCTACAAAGAATCCTGACTGAAACACCAAGGGGCTTATATCCAATTTGGCAAGACGTCAGCATGCTTTTCAGTTTTGTAAAGATGACATTGACCAAAAGTCAGGGCATTTGAATCTTATCTTAGTCAAACAGAAATGTAAATGTTAAAGTAAAGATGGAATCCTCAGACAGCACTGGGATCAGATCGCTACTGTCTGTTATTGGAATGATCTCTGCAATCATACCTACAATGTCAATGTGGTTGGGGAGTAAGAGATCTGTGTGTGTGTGTGTGTGTGTGTGTGTGTGTGTGTGTGTGTGTGTGTGTGTGTGTGTGTGTGTAGATGGTATCTGCTGATAGTGTCACATCAGGTGGAAGAGATGAGCTCACACACATTCCAGGTGAGCAGCACAGCGCTGCAGGGAGGGTGGGTGGGGGGGGGGGGCTGAAGGATTTATAGATAATAATAATCTAAAGGCTTTTAACCTTTAATATTTGTCCCTCTCCAGCACCCTTGATTTCCAGATGTGTGTGTGTGTGTGTGTGTGTGTGTGTGTGTGTGTGTGTGTGTGTGTGTGTGTGTGTGTGTGTGTGTGTGTGTGTGTGTGTGTGTGTGTGTGTGTGTGTGTGTGTGTGTGTGACTCACAGCTTTAGCAAACACTCCCATGAGCTCGGGGA